CCTGCCAGAGATGGCCAGGTGGACACGGAGCCTGGTGAGCCAAGCTTTGCTCAGCAAGGGCGGCGGGGGGAGCAGCTCACCCTCTGTACTGTCCTCCTCCCCCACCATCCGTTCCCCCAGTGCGAGAGGGAGGGCCCCTGGGAAGAGGCGATTCCGGGACCACTGCCCCCCCACCCAGGTCTCCTCAGACCAGGGGCTGGAAGCTGCTAAGTGCCTGATGAGTTCTTGTGGCCACAGTAAATCTGGTCACTTCGTCCCTCCAGAGAGGCCAAGGAGGAGGAAACCAGCTCTCTGACCTCAATCAGGTGAACACCCACCCGTCACTGCAGTTCCTGTAACCGGCAGCCGTGCTATTCATAATCAATCCGCTGGCCCTAAAAGCTTCAGGGGGAGAGGAGAGGCCTCTGGCAGGGAGGGAGTGTGCATATGGCCGGGAGTCTGGGCGGGAGGCTGGGGGCGTGGGGACCTACATGGGGTCACAGCCGGTCCAGCAGGCCTGCTGAGAGACACCTGGAGGCCGGCCTCTGTCCCCAGAGTTAGGTCCAGGACCCCCGAGTGGGGGCAGGATGTGGGCAGGGGGCCTGCCCTTCAGCCAGGCGGGCCCCGCTGGCCAGGGTGGCCAGATCTATCAAATGAAGATGCGTAGTGAAAGTGAGGATAGTTGCTCACTCCTGTCTGATTCTTTGCGACCCCATGGACTGCAGCCCGCCAGACTCCTCTGTCCACGGGATTCTCCACTCCAGGAATACTGGAGTGGGCCCCTATTTCCTTCTCCAGGGATCTTCCCGACCCAGGGATCGGACTCAGGTTTCCCACATTGCAGGTGAATTCTTTACTGTCTGGGCCACCAGGGAAGCCCATCTTTCTTCACACCGACCTTCATATTCACAAGGAATAACCAGTTCAAGGACTTCCCATGCAGTTTGGGGACATATCATTGTTTGTTTGAAATTCAGACTGAGCTAGGTCTTCTGTGTTTTATCTGGCAAGCCCCCGCCCTTGCAGGCTGCTCGTTCCCTGGAACCGGGGCTCTGCGGCTCAGCCTCTCCCTGTCTGTGCCCTGGCTCCCCCGCCTCCCCTCCACCTCTGCCCCAGGGCCTCCGGAGCGCCTCTTCTTCCTGATGGCTCTCGCGTGGCCTGTGTGGACCTGTGCTTTGGGTCCCTGTCTTCCCACCGTCCTTGAGCGTCCAGACCCAGGTGGGGCCCCACACTGTTCCCGGGGTGCCCTGCCCACCATGGCCACGGCCTTGTCCTTCGCAGCTTCCTCTCCTCTTCTGTGAAGGTGGGATGTCTGCTTCCTGTGACAATAGTAGAAGTCACCCCGCCCACTTTTCTGGGGAGCTCGGGACCCACAAAGCCACGAGGAAAATGAGGGGAGGGGCCCAGGAGAGGCTGGAAGGAGCCAGTCCCCTGCCCCCGGGAAAGGGGAAGGGCCCTGCATCCAGTTAGAGGTGCACACCCCGGAGAGGTCCCCAGTACACAGGGGCACCCCAGAACCAGAAGGACAAAGGTGAGGGGCAGGGGTCGGCATGTGGCCGACCCTGACGGCCTGACCTTCGGGGGGGGCCCGGGGGCTGGGCTCCTCGGACGCCACTCTGACCCCCCGCCCCCCGCCAGGCCAAGGCCAATGTGTGCGCAGCAGCATCACCTACCCTGCAAAGCAGCTCCGCGTGTCTGATTTCTATTTTCTTTAATGAAAGATAGACGGCTAACGATGACAGCAGTTGTTTCTTGAGCCCTTGCTGTGCCAGGGACGGGCAAGCACCTGCCTTGTTTGTGGGGGCTCTCACACACTCCTGGAGCCCCACCCCAGGGCTCTCTCATCCCCCAGGGTCCCCACACCACCCCCCAGGGACCCCACACTCTCTCCTGAGCTAACACGTCCCCGTGGCCCTGAGCTGTGTGAGTTCCGGTTTCCTCTGGGTCTAAGGGGATCTGGGGCAGGGGTTGGGAAAGGAGGCGGGGGGTGGGGGACGCTCAGTCTTTAAAGGGTCTGAGACCCTGTAGACTGTGATGGGGGCCTCGGTGGAGAGCGGTGACGGCAGGTCCTGGGAGCTGGAGGGGCTGCTCTGATCCCACCCTCCGCTGTCTGGCAGCCCACCCGGGGACACCCCAACATAGAGACTCAGACCCCCAGGTCTCCCCTGGGTGCCCACGCGGAGGCCCAGAGGGCCGGGAGGGGCCCCGCCCTCGGCTCTGCCTGCTGGGAGCTGCCGTGGGCACTGCTCCCTTCTTGTGTTTAACCAGCGAGGTTTCAGCTGGGAAACTGTCGCCCGCAGTCTGCAAACATCCCTTCCCGCTCCGCCGCGCCGCCTGCCAAGCGCCGCCAGCCGCCAGCTTGGCTCACAGTCGGCTCACGCAAGCTGCCCAGCCTGGCACCGGGCTCCCGCCCACCGGGCTCCCAGGGAAGCTGGCAGGGGAGGGCGGTCTCCTGCTGCACTCCGGGCCCGGCAGTCCCACAACAGGGCTCCAGCCTCCCCGTGTCCCCTACCCTGGGCCCCCCACCCCGTGGCCTCTGCTGTGGTCCCAGGAGCAGTCTGGGACACCCCACCCTGCCCGCCACTGGGAGACACCTCAGGAGGAATTCCGGGATGCTGGGGGGACGAGGCAAGTTTGGGGAGAGTTGAGGAGCCTTACCGGGGAGCAGGTGTCCCCGAGGCTTGGGGACAGGCCGCCTCTTGAGGTCCACCCTGTGCCAGGGTCCCCTCCACTGGCCCCTGGTGGCCAGCCAGGGTCACGAGCTCCTGCGGTTCTCTGGGGTGTCCCTGTCCCCAGGCAGATGCTGATACCAGCACCCACTCTGCCAGAGGAGGGACCACCACCTCAGGACCCTTCCCATCCTGAGCCTGGGCTGAGCACCCCCTGGAAAAGGCCCTTCCATATCTTTTTGGAGAGGGTGCAGCCCCCATGGGCCAGAGTCTCTTCCCAGTCAGACCCCAGGCTCTAGGGGCTCAGAGACCAGGCCGCACTCACCCACTGCGGCCCAGACTCCACCCAGCCTTGCCGACTGTTCTCCCCAGGCCCTTGGCTGGCAAGAGGGGGCCCCCAGTTTCCGAGCGGCTCCTAGGCCCCCAGGGGCCCCTCGGCAGCTCTCGGGCTCAGACTTCAGGACTGAATTGCATGATTTAAGATTAATCATCACACCGTCCCACGGCCTCATGATTAAGTGCTTGTTCATCCCGATTATGTCTGAGAGCAATTCGTTGTTCTCTGGGTGACAAAAATCACCTGCTTCAGGAAGGGAGCCTGGGGCAGCTCTCACCCCCCAACCTGCACCCAAGGAGGGACCCTCGACCTTGGTTCTGAGGTGGCCTTGGGGGGCTGATGGGCAGAGAGAGGGGTGGGAGGGGGACTGCAGGGGCTCAGGGATCAACGAGAGACTGTGCACGTCTCTGGGCGTGCCCCGACCATGGGAACGGGTCACGGCGACGGAAGGGCAGCTCTCGGGGCTGGGCGAGGCGCTACAGGGGCTGCAGATGGGTTGGGCTTGTTAGTCTTGGCTCTTCCGTTAGAAGCCCCACTTGTGTCTCAGTTTCTCCATCAGAAGAGCGGTGACGATCTTCACCCCTCCCATCTCCTGGGGGGAGGGACAGAGGGACTTCTGCCCGGTGGTGGGAGGAGCCAGCGGTGTGTCCCCCAGTGGGCCCTGTGGCCTTTCCGGTCACCAGGCGGGCACTGGGGGGCCAGGGCCGCCTCTCCTGCACCCGCAGTTCCTCCATGAGTGTCTGGGCGCCTGCCTCCCGGGGCCCCAACTTTGTGAGGCAGGTCACTCTGGAGCCGCCCCACAGGGTCCACTGCGGCCCACGCCTCCTGTGTGTCCAACACAGGACAATTCCCCCCACTGCCAACCGGGAGGGGGTGTGCCCATGCGTTTGTGTAGGTGGCAGTGAGGAGCTGAACGTGGTTTTCAGACCCTGGGGAGTCAGGTGGACCCCCACCTGGGCGCCAAGACAGAGGTTGGGGTTGCTAGCCCCATGACCTCGGAGGTCATGCCCCAACGTCACCCCCAGACTCCTAGGGGCCCTAGGATGGGGGGAGTCCCTGGGGGCTGACACCAGTTCACCCCCACCCCCCAGCCACGCTCTCACCCGAGCCAAGGTCAGCAGGGATCTGAGCCCATGGCCCATGCCACACCTGCTGGTTCAGCCCCTGGCCCAGCGCACGGCCATTTTCCTCTGAGCGTTTAAAAAATTAGGCCAAACACACGTAAAGAGATTTTTTTTGCGAGGGAGGAGAAGATGTGAAATAATGAGCTAACAAAAGAAATTTGGTCCAACAACATCTTTTAACAAGAATTGACTTTAAAATGATGGTTATTAACCATATTTCCTTTCAGGAGCAGTTAAAGCTACTTCACAAGGTGAGGCAATTAATTTTTAAGTTTATGCTGAACATTATAGCACACGAGCCATTAACAAGGCGGCGGAATTAACCTCCCTGCACTTGGCAGATGGCCGTGGACACACGCCGGACCGACCCAGCACGGGGCTCCGCCCGGCGCCCCAAGAGGGATGCAGGTGAGGGGGCGGCCCAGACTCTCCTGCCACCTCATGTCCGGCAGCTGGCAGGCACAGGGGAGAGTCCAGGGAGACGCAGGACTCAGTCTGGGGAGGGGTCAGAAGTCAGGGCTGTTTGGGGCTGGGTCAGAGGTCAGAGGCAGGCTGGGGCCCCTGCCGAGGTCCTGTGGCTGACCTGCTGGCCCAGAGTCTGAGAGCCCTGGCTGCTGGGACCCCGGAGTCCCTGGCCCGGCTTCTGGCCCTGGGACCTCCCCAGCTGATGCCCTGATGCCCAGGGGGAGCCCTTGGCATTCTCCCTCCCAGGTCCCCACCTTCCAGGGCAGGACTCGGGAGCCAGGTCAAGGTGCCATGCTGGGGTCAAGGTCACAGCAGGCAGGGCCAGCTGCTGCTCCAGCCTGGTCTGACCCCGAAGCCGGCTCTCTTGCCTGTCTCGGGGCCTCAGTCCCCCGCCTTAGGGTCCTTACCCGCCTTTGCCCGCTGCTCTCATCGGCCAGGGCAGGGCCGCTTCTCCAAGCCCAGCTCTGGGGCCCCGGGGGCCAAGGCGGGGGCCACATGGAGCTTTCCCCAGCCCGCCCCCTCAATGGTGCCCAGCGTTCCCTCTGCAGGCTCCGTGCCCCTGTGCCCTGCTTTCCCTCGGAGGAGGCTGAGGTGGCAGGAGAAGGGGCGTGAACGAGCCTCTTGGGGCAGCACGAACGCGGAAGATGCCGCAGACATGGTGGCATCTCAGGCCCTGACACCCGTGCGGGAGGCGGCCTCGAGTTCAGGGTCAGCCACGGGCTGAGCAAGAGGGCAGCCCGGGGCTCGTGGTCTGGGCCGGGGGACAGGCCTGCTCCGGCCGGGCCTTTGGACACAGGGCCTGGGAGGGAGGGTGCCCACCTCCCCAGGGGAGCATCCCAGTGGCCCTCACGTGGTTCTCACCTGCCAGCGTTGGGTTGGAGTAGGCAGCGTCAGGGGTTCCAGCATATCCTGAAACGTGGCCCCTTTAAATACTAGACCCCACTGAACCTTTTTGTTGTTCTTGTTGGAAGCTGTTCTAAAAGCTGCCCCCAGGTGCCCTGCCTGCTCAGGACGGGTCACTGTGGGGCAGGCCCAAGTTCCAGCTCCCTGCTCCCTCCATCTGAGTCCTGCAGCCCCCAGCCCCCCGCTGCTTCTCAGCCACGGGTGGGCGCCGGAGCCAGAGACCTCACTCAGACTGAGAAAGCGTCTCTGGTGTGGGCCATCCAGGCCCCGCTTCCCTGAGTATCCGGGCCCCTCCTGCCCACCGGGGTGGGTTCGGCTGGGCCGTGCATACTCAGGACCTGCTTTGACCCCCTCGTCCCTCCCAGGGCAGGTGGTGAGGGCGGAGAGGGGGTCCCGGGGCTGCCGTCCCCGCGTCTCGCCGTGGGCCTCCGCCAACGAGACTCAGATGGATCTAAGAGCAGCCTGCACAGTCTCATACCTATAACTTTAAATTAAAAAAGCCATGTGCTGTTATGGGTTCTCCCGGCAGTGCAGCGAGGCAGCCCCATAAAGATTATATTATAGTACAAGCATTATGTGCCGAGTCGACTATATATACATTTCTAAATGGTTCGGCAAACAGCAGCCTACTTATGGGCACGAAAGGAGAACTGGTTCATTTGGGGTAACAAATGATCCTTGATTTGATTTTAAATGCAACGACAGCCAAATTTATTTCTTATTTAATCACTTCCCTGTGCTGTTGAGAGCGGGGTGATATTAAACTCTCCAACGTGCGGAGCAGACTCCGGAATCAGGCGAAAGAGGCGAGCGAATAGATTATGTTTATAGGGCAGTGGGAGACCGTGGAGCGAAGCACATAACCGGAATGGGTGTTTTTGTCATCTCTACAGTAGCTTAGATCATGATTTCTTCCTGCTTCCAATTTTTCAGTGATAAAAATATAGGCAATGTGATTCTCTTTGCATTACAGATAAACCATCTTGATTCTTTATTAAATATTTTTATTAATCTGAAGGACTGCAAAGCGCTGTCGCCGATAAATCAGGCAGCGAGCCGCCATCCGCCTCTGCTACGGGTTTCTGTATTCACGGTCCGGCTGCCTTCTGTCCCTGCGTTGTGGCCACGTGTACTCAGCAGAAGTGGCGCTAAGGGGTATTTGTTCCTCAAAATCCCATCAGTTTGGGTAATCGCTCCGCAGTCCTCAGTTTTGTGCCTATTTGATTAGGAATCGCTAATCTGGTGTCCCTGCCCGCTGGGACAGGAGGGCCGTTTTGGCCCTTGCCGGGGGCTCCTGGGGGCTGATGGGGGCTGGGGGGTCTCGGGGCTCTGGGAGAGGCCTTGGCCCTGGGCAGTTGCCAGCAAGCATTTGGGGCCCCACAGACCACGGAAGCCAAGTGGGCGTGAGGTGGAGGACAGGCCGAGGGTCAGCTGCAGTGGGCACCCTGGTCCCTGGGGTGGGGACAGCCAGGGTGGGGTCCTCTCGGGAGCAGGGGGCCAGCTCTCAGGTCCCCCTTCTTGGGGCGCCTGTCCTCCTGCCATGGCGGGGGGTATGGGTGAGAGGGGACAGGCTGTGGTCACCAGTGGGGGCAGTTTCTTGCTGGTAAGTTTGTTTTTCCAGCCTCTGCGGTGGACCCACCCAGAGCTGGGAGGGCCGTCTCCCTGGAAAGCTGTAGGAGGTGGTGGTCCCTTGGCCTCCAGCTATGTGCCCCACCCCGTCCGCTGGGCCCGCCACCCTGCATGTTCACCCTTCACCCCCAGATCCGTTTACTCCGCAGGGGACGGTCACCTGTGCGGCTCTGATGACCGCACAACAGAAGGGACCCTTCCTGGGGGTCCCCAGGGGGTCCCCAGGGTGTCTGCTCTTGGGTAGGGTGCAGATCTAGGCCTGTCCCAGCTCAGGGGTGTCTGCGAGGGGTGGCACCTGGGATGGGCCTTGGAGGGGAGTCCAGGGGTCTCCCAGGCTTAACGAGAGTGTTCAGGCGGCTCTGGGAACGTAGCCAGGTGGCCCACCGATGGCCAGCATGGGAACAGGCACATGGGACAGTGACAAGAACCTTAGTCCTGACCATAACCCTAACTCCGTGACCACGCCCAGAGCTCGCGGGCCAATGCAGACACGGCTGCTCTCCCCAACACCTGGCCCTTCCTGTCCAGCCAGCCCCACCCAGCCTGCCAGCCTGCCAGTCCATCCAGCAATGACCAAGGTCTGGGGGTCCCTCACCTCTCTGGGCCCCTGGGCTGGCTCCAGCCAGGGGCTCGCCAGTCTCTGGCCTCTGAGTCCTCCCTATGTAGGTCAGCCCCAGTGACCCCACAGTCAAGGCCCCAGTAAGGTCCCCATCCTGCCAACCAGGGTCTGGTGGCCCCAGGCAAACACCTCACACCCACTTTCTGTCCCAGCAGGGCTGCTGGGAATCCTGGTGAGCGGAGGTGGGGGCGAGCCTCTGGAAGGGATCCTTGCCCTCCAGGCCCTGGAAGGACCCCCCCGCCCCAGGTCCACCTTGGCCAGGGGATGCTGGAGGAGCAGTCTGGGGAGGCCTCACAGAGGAGGCGCTGTGGAGAAGGCCCTGTGTCCGGCAGGAACCAGGGGCGGGGAAGGAGCAAGCTTGCAGGGGGATGCAGGGGGCGGGGGGGGGGGTGGTAGCAAGAAGATCGGGGGCAGTGCCACGAGGGGCAATAGGGAGACCCCAGGATGCAGGCTGTGCCGCCTGCAGCTGCCAGTGGGCCCCCGTGCGGCCCGGAACAGCCCCGAGAGGCTTATCCAGCACAGCCTGGGGATGGCTACACGTGGGTGCCCAGCGCTGGACAGGCAAATGTCCAGGGTCCCCATGAGAACCTGTGACGTGCAGAAGAGGAGAGAACCAGCGCCAAACCCGGGTCAGGCCTGAGACCCGAGCCTGGCCAACCCCGAGGAAGCAGAGGTGACCGGGAACACCACCCAGTCCAGCCCGGGTGTCTCAGCGGGCTCTTGGCGCCCCACCATCCAGGGCAGGGGGCACCCACCTCCATCACCTCTTGGGCTTACTGGCCAACCGGGCATGTTCAAGGTCTGGGCTGCAGGCGGTGCACTTGCCCGGAGGTGGGCGGTGCCCGAGCGCCCAGCAGCTGCTGCTGGAAGTGCCCCCCTGGGGGAGGGGAGGGAGGGCGGCCGGGCGGCCTGGCGGGGCACCAAGGGAACACCGCGTTCCCACCACCTCCTCCTCGCGGGCCACTCTGAATGCAGCCCGTGTGTTCTCCGCGGCCGGCCAGAGGCCAGTGATGCCAGCCTGGGGGAGGAGAGAGAAGACGGGGAGGCCATAGGCTCCTCCGTGACAGTTCCGAGGGGCGGGGGCGGCCCCCATGGCAGAGTCCCCCGGCGGAGGTGGGGCTGGACAGAATCCCACCTGCTCCCGGGAAGCTCTGGTCTTGCTGGGGGAAGGGGGTGGCAAGTAGGGTAAGAGGGGAGCCAATTAACTGTAAGGAGCCACCCCTCTCTGCGCCCGGCCTCTCAGTGGGCCTGGCCCCCCGGGGGCAGGACTGTGACCACGTGAGTGGCAGGACGGATGGGACCCAGGTCACGACACTCTGCTCCCCACCCCTGAGCTTCCAGCTCACTCCCCCCACCTGGACGTGGGGGGCCCTAGTCCTGAACAGACTTGCCCCCTTCTGGCACCCTGCATCCCAGAGGGATCCCCACATGTGGGGAAGGCCTCACGTCAAGCCCCATCCAGCCGGGGTGCCGGGTCACCCCAAATGCTCTGCTGCAGGAGAGCCAGGGCTGGTGCCCTGGGCCTGCTCTTAATTCTGATTTTCCCTCGTGAGATGTTCTGCCCTTGATAAGGTGCAAGGGCGTCCTTCTTCTCGTGGGACCCCGCCCCCACCCCCACCCCAGACAGGCGGCTGGGTGGGTCCGTCTGGGTAGAGACAGGCATCACCCAGGGGGGCCTGGCCCTGCCACCTTCCGTCCGGGTGCCTGGGTGACCAGTGAGCCCTGTGCAGAGGTGGCACCTCTGGAGGGTCGCCCTCGAATATGCAGGGGAGTCAAGCCCCTATGGCCACAGAGTGCTGGCCCTTCTCAGCTGCCCTCAGGCTAGACCTCCGAGCCTCTGCTTCTCCCCAGGGGTGCGTGGCCAGGCTGAGGTCTCTGAGGACTCAGTGGTGGAGGCTGCGGGAGACCCAGGACAACTCTGAGAGGGTGATCCCCTGTGGGGAGACCCCTTGGGAAGAGGCCATTCATTCCTGAAATGAAATGGATTCTGTTTAGTTCAGAATCCTGTTCAGATACACCTGCTGGCGGTGTATCTGCAGGGCGTATCTGAGGGGCGCTCGGCAGCTCTGGTCCATGGGACTTGACAGAAGTGGTTTGGAGATTCTGAGGCTTGAAGGTGGAACGGTGGCTGGGGGCTGCGGGCTGTACCTGCGGAGGACGGTGCCCAGGCCGAAGTGGGGGCCCCTGGAGCCTGAGCCCTGGGGCCTGGCCAGGAGGCCCTGCCCACCTGTACCTGCCACCGCCCCCCAGCCCTCAGTGAGGATTCAGGACTCTCCTTGGGGCCCCCATCCCAATGCCCAGTCCCCCTCGGTGACACCTGTGCTGAGCTGAGGACAGCTGTGTGCGGAAGCAGGTCAGTCAAGGTTCACCTGGGGTGGGGGTCAGAGGGTCCAGACAGCCCCTTCTGCCTGCATCTGGGACTCGCCCACCTCCCCAAGGGTAGGGGGCCATCCTGGGGGGTGACAGCTTCTGTATTGGCCAGTGAAGGTGCGGGCAAGGGCACCTGCGTTAAAAGGAAGGGAGTCCTGACGCCAGACAGCACAGACGAACCCGGAGGACATTGTGCTCGGTGAAATGAGCCCAACACAGCAGGACAAACCCTGCAGATCCACTTGTAAGAGGGCCCTAGAGGAGCCAAACCCAGAGACAGAAAGTAGGAGGCGGGGGCCCGGGGCTGGAGGATGGGAGGGGAGTAGTGACTAGTGGGGACAGGCGGTCAGCCTGGGGAGGTGACAGAGTCCTGGGGACGGACGTGGCGATGGTTGCACAATGATGTGCGTGTGCTTCATGGCAGAGAGCTGGACGCTAAAACGTGGTGAATAAATCTTGTGTGTGCATCCGTGTGTGCTAAGTCGTGTCCGACTCTTTGGGACCCCATGGACTGTGGCCCACTAGGCTCCTCTGTCCATGGGATTCTCCAGGCAAGAATACTGGAGTGGGTTGCCATGCCCTCCTCCAGGGGATCTGCCCCCACCCAGGGATCGAACCCACGTCTCTTTCGTCCCCTGCATTGGCAGGTGGGTTCTTTACCCCTAGCACCACTTGGGAGGCCCTTCATTATGTGTATTTTACCACAATTGAAAAACCTTTGCAAAGATATTTTAAAAATTCCCAGGGGAGAGAAAAATCACCCACACCAGTGAACTATGTTTAAGGGACATCTCAGCCCTGAAAGCCCAACCTGGGCGGGGAGCAGGCAAAGCTGGGGCAGGAAAGCAGAAAGTCCTGAAGGTGAGGCAGCGTGAGTCCCAAAGTACGAAACCAGTGTCCACACGAGCGCACGGCCATGGAGAAACGACTGAACGGCAGCAAGAGCGGCGCAGGGGCAGCCCTCCCATGCAGACACCCAGGTAAGACGTTCAGACACCCCGGGGGCAGGACAGCCCCCCAGGAGTGGGCCGTGCACAGACTTCCTTCCAGAGGATTAATCACACAGAGGGAGGGAAGGAGGCATGGCTGAAGGGAAACGGACCAAACCTCAGCCAGGGACCAGGGTCGCCGTCAGCAGTGGACAGGTCAGGGTGATGGTCTGCACCCCTGGTTTGATGGTGTGAATGGCATGAGAAGGCCGCCTCGCCTCTGAGGTCACCCCCAAGCCCATCATTCCTGTCCACTCAAAACACCAGACAAACCCCAGCAGAGTGGTCATCTGTGAGATCCCTGGCTAGTCGTCCTGCCAAGAGGCAAGATCATCAGAAGCCAGGCAGTCTGAGACGCTACCACAGCCCAGCGGAGCCCCAGCAGACATGTAGGCCGACTGCTGCGTGGGTCCTGGGATAGGAAAGGGCCTTAGGGAAAAACTAAGGAAATCTGATAAAGTATGGAGTTCAGTTAATTTTTTAAAACGTCTTCCTGGGGACGGCCAGGCAGCCCTCGGGTAAGATGTGACCTTGCAGGAATCGTGGCCTCAGAGACTGGACGCCTAGACCAGGGCCTATACACGCACCTCCAGCCACAGACCCCAGGCCCCAGACCATTGTGCAGTTGGCAGATGGGGCTGCCCCCGCTCCCCCCCCAGCGGCCCCCAGAGTCACCTCACACGCCTCTGTTTCCGTGTCTGAGGCCCACAGGACCGTGAACAGGTGGGTGACGTCTGTCCCGGGGAAGGCGAGCCTGGGGTTTAGGATGCGTGGAGCTCAAGGGGCCCTCGGGGAGAAGAGTCAGGCAGAAGGGGGTCAGAGTGGGTCCGGCGCTCAGGAGGGCGTCCGGAGACAGAGTGGCCGGAAAAACCACATTTTAACCCATCATCATGTGGACAGTTTTGTTATGAAAAACACCAGAAAGCCATTAATGTAAATCATGAAATATTCAGCAAGGAAGTCGCTGAAACGTCTCGTGTTCCCAGAAACGGCGCCGAGCGCTTCCTGCAGCGGGGATGCCCGAGCGTCAGCTCTTCAGAGGCCATTAGCTCAGGGATGGGAAGTGTTAGATCATCGCCTTGTGGGGGGCGGACGCCAGGTGAGGGAAGGGAGGCCACCCCCGGGGCAGCAGCCACGTCCACGTGCACTCTGACTCCCAGGGCTCCCGCCTGCTGCCCCCAGGAGCCCGGCTCGCACGGGGGGACCGGCCCCGGGGCCCCCGAGTCTGTTCCCAGAGGGGGCGGGCAGCTGGCGCAGCTGTGAGCGCCGCTAGCCTCTGCTGGTCTGGCCGCCCCCGGCTCCCGGCTCCTGGCCACCTGTGTGAGCGCCCTGTGCTAACACCTTCCCAGGGCGCAGCGTCCTGCCCCGAGCGGCGCCCACAGCAGGGGAGCTGCCACACCTGCACACTCGCGCTGCGCTGGGCTCCGTACAGGCCGCCTCTCGTTCCACCCTGACCGCCATCTCGGATCTCAAGCTGGCTGCCGTCGACGAGAAGACTTGGATCCACATCTGTTTGGCTCTAACATGGTGCTCTCGCTTCTCCAGTGGCTCAGCTGGTAAAGAATCCGCCTGCAACGCGGGAGACCTGGGTTTGATCCCTGGGCTGGGAAGATCCCCTGGAGAAAGGAACAGCTACTCACTCCAGTGTTCTGGCCTGGAGAATTCCATGGACTGTATCGCCCATGGGGGCGCAAAGAGTCGGACACAGTTGAGCGACTTTTACTTTCACTTCACCGTCATCCAGCCCGTCTCTGAGCAGCTCCCGCTACAAAAACACAAAATGACATCAGGCGGGGAAGAGGGTGAGGATGTGCCCGTTGGCATGACTTCTATCAAACAAACAGAAACCAGCAAGGCTGGTGAAGATGTGGAGAAGCTGGAGCCCTTGTGCCCTGTTGGTGGGGATGGAAAATGGTGCAGCAGCACGCAGCGTGGGAGGCCCTTGAAAAATTGCACAAAGATGTACCAGACAGAAATCCCACTTCTGGGCGTGCACCAAGAGACCCAAAAGCTAGGACTGGAGAGGCATTTGCATACTGACATCCAGGGCACTGTTATTCACAGTAGCCAAAAGTGGAAACCCCCCAAGTGTCGGCTGATGGAGGAATGGTTGAGCGAAGTACGGTCCATGCACACAAAGGCAATTATTCAGCCTTAAGAAGGAGGTCCTGACGAAGGCCATGACACGGGTGAACCTTGAGGACACTGCGCTCAGTGAAGTGAGCCCAAGACCAGAGGATGAACACTGTGTGATTCCACTCGTGGGAGGCCCTAAAGGAGTCAGATCCACAGAGACAGAGAGTAGATGGGGGGGCCAGGGGCTGGGGAGGGAGGGGAGTCAGGGTTTAATGAGGACAGAGTTTCTGTTTGGGAAACTGAGAAAGTCCTGGAGGTGCATGGTAAATGTACTTAATGCCACTTAACTGTTGCTCTTAAAAACTGGTTAAAGGGGTAAATTTTATGTTACGTGGTTTTTGCCACAATTTAAAAAATAAATGAAAAGAAGATGAGGAGGGTGGAGAGTGTGGATTGAGGGGCCGGTGTGTCCAGGGAGTGATGGTGAGACAGACAGGCAGCTTGCGGTCTGAGGGCGACAGTGGCCCCAGGAGGGCAGCCTGGGGCCACGGGGGGTGTTTCAGCACCTCGGAGAGAGGCACTGCACCTGGACCCCGGGAGGGACCGGCCGGACGGGTCTAGGAGGGAGGCCGGGCCCTTTCTGAAGAGAGCCTGCTCCTCCTTCTGAAAACAGGCAAATGCTTGATGAGGCACCCCAGGATCTTGCAACTCTGGCCCCACAGGGCTCCTCGGGGAAGGCTGCTCTGACTCCTTATGGGGAAAGCAGCATTGAAAGAGGGCCCCGGGGCAGGCTTCCCCCTGCCCAGCCCTGACCCCAGTGACCTTGGGGAGGCTCCCGTCCACCTCCACGCCTCCTGATTCCACCCACGGCCAGAGGGTCTTCCTGGAACCAGGGTGCCCATCCACGCCAAGGGCAGGGCAGGGAGGAGGGAAGCGCTAGTTTCTTTTGTGTGTGCCTGGCCTGAGACCTCCTTACACCAACATTCTCAGTGCAGGGGTGGGGGGGGTGGAAGAGGCAGGCAGTGGTCCCCAAGCCCTCCTGGGAGCTCGTTGCTCTTGTCACAAGGGGGCAAGGGGGTGTGCGATTGGCCCTTAGTGCCCGGGGACTACATGTGTGAGCCAGCTCTGCCAACTGAGGACAGTCCCTCCCTGCAGGGCTGATGATATCTATGTGAAAAATCAGCTGCGAGTCCTCCAAATGCTATTTCCGCATAAAGCACGCAGCCTTCCGGAAACTGAGCCGGGGGTGGGGGTGGGGGTGAGGGGGACTCGCCACTCGGATTCTCTGTGACAAGACACCTGGGGATGGTTAAAGACGGCCGGCTACAGCACAACTCCTCTGGCCCTGATGCAGTAGTGTTCACGGCTGGTCATTGAGGCCGTGTGTGTGCACAGCTGCCCACCAACCTGCTGGTGCCGGCCCAGAGCGAAGTGAGCTTCCTGTGTGGGGACCACCATCTGAGCCTCTTAGGGGCTCCACCCGCAGCAGAGGGCACCGTGGGTCCCTCTGGAAGTCAAATCCCACTTCTTTTTTTAAAAAAATATTTATTTATTTGGCTGCATCAGGTTTTAGTTGAGGCATGCAAGCTGTTAGTTGTGGCATGTGGGATCTGCTTCCCTGACCAGGGATTGAATCCAGGTCCCCTCATTGGGAGCACGGAGTTTTAGCCACCGGACCACCAGGGACGTCCCAAATCCCACTTCATTACTCGTCATCTGTGTCACTCTTCTGAACGGCGATCGTGACCGTTCTCTGTGAGACAGGCATTCTCTTAGTGGGCCACAGTAACCACAGTATTTACCTCTGTCGGGGTGAACCCTCCAACGTGACATCATTCATTCAGCTTCCCAGGTGGCCCAGGCAATAAAGAATCTGCCTTCAACACAGGAGACCCAGGTTACTTTCCAACCCAGGTTCCATCCCTGGGTCGAAAAGATCCCCTGGAGAAGGGAATGGCTACCCGCTCCAATATTCTTGCCTAGAGAATCCCATGGACAGAGGAGCCTGGCGGCTGCAGTCCACAGGGTTGCAGAGAGTTGGACACGACTGAGCGACTTCACTTTCACGTTCATTCATTCAAAGCAAAGAGAAAATTGACAGCGATTTGCTCTCATAGGAGCGCTGCTTTGGGGGCTGGGGTACAGAAAATAAGAAGACCAGTCCTCTAGGGGGAGGGGTAGAAGCAAAATATGGGGACACTGGAGACATGAGTTCTGACCCCAGAGGACCTGAGTTGAGTATGCACCACCAGCAGCCAGGGTGGCCAGCTTGGAGGAGGTGGCTCTCAATCTGCAGGGGTGGCCGTGATGGGGGTCTTTGGGGTCTGTCTGGTGACAGGCCGGGGGCAGGGGGGCTGCTGACGGAGCAGTGACGCGTGTCCGCAAGAGGCTGGGTCCGAGGAGAGGGCACCCGCCCTTCTCTGAAGAGACACTCCTTCCACACGCGCAATCACTGAAGATAGTCAGGACATCTGATTTTCCACTTAACCATGTACTTAGTGAATTGCTATGGTTTATTGGGCACTTGGAATGGCCTGTAATTACATCAAGTGATGGAGATCGCCCTGGGAGGATGCTCCGGGGAAAGCTGCCAGCGGCACTGTGGCCCGTCTCTGCTCCAGGCAGACAAAAGCTCCAGGCTTCAGGCCCGCTCCCTCCAGACCGGAGGTTGTAGAGAGGGACGGGAGAACGCTGGCTCTGGCCTTAGCCTGGGACCAAATCCCAGCTCAAGACTCTCATTTCACACATGAAGCAGTTGAGGCCCAGAGAGGTTAGGTAACTCGCCTGAGAGCACACAGCATCAGCGTCTGACCTGGCACGTGCCCGCCTCCACAGCTGAGCTTCCCACCCCTCACCTGGCCCTCAGATGGCGATGTGGCTGCAGTACACGGAGCGACTGCAGAGACTCAGGAGCGGAAGCGGGGACCTGCCGGGAAAGTGCGAGGTGCCGAGCAGAAGGGGCGGAAGGTGCCGCACACTCACACCTTTGGCGATGGAGCCTCTGGCAGGGAAGCCTGGTACCCCTCGCCACTCCCCCCTGCCCCCCGCAGCCCCTGTGGGGCAGGGACCAGCTCCCGGGAACTGTCTGGCTGACCAGAACCATCACCCCCATTTCATTACTTTGGGGCTTGGAAAATTACTATTCATGACAGTAAACTTAAAGATGAAATAATAAGTCTGTCCTTTTAGAAAGCAAATTGCGACGCCAGAATATTCATGAGCGGTGACTTCATGGGGAAAGGCATCGGGCCGGGAGAAGACGGTTTGGTTAAGTCGGCAGCCGAGGAATTTAGGGAAATGCACTTGTCACTCCGAGGAAATCAGTGATTAATCCTTTCCTGTTTGCGGGGGCCCTTAACAGGCGCATTTTTAATGTACTAATTAATTAACCTTGGGAGCACTCGCGTTTCCCAGGCTGCCGAGGCCTCAGCTCCTGGAGGGCGGATGCGGCCAGATCCTACCCCAGCTGGTGGAGACGCAGAACGGCCCTCCCCCTGGAGCCAAGGCCGGGGAAGCAGGCAGGTGGGCGGCTCCAGGCTCAGGACTCTCCCCAGCGGTAACTACCCACGACTTCATGGCTGGGGGTTGAGTAGGGTCCACCCCAAAGTCACATCTGCCTGGAAGCACAGAATGACTTTGTCTGGAAATCAGGTCTTTGCAAACATCATCAGCGAAGGATCACCCAGGACGTAGGTTGAACCCCCTCAGTCCCGGGTTTAGGCCCCGTGTCCTCCAAGCAGAGGAGAGACACAGGGACACAAAGGGAAGAGGGGGCGGTGATGAGGGCACGTGGGCAGGCTGTGGCAGTGACCGGAGGGACGCGTCTCCAGCCAAGGAAGCCCGAGGATTTCTGGCGACGCCGGAAGCTGGAGAGAGGCCCGGAACGGCCCCGAGGGAGCCCGGCTGGCACCTGGGCGCGCACACGTGGCTCCGGGGCTCCTGCTGCTGCGTCCAGCTCCCCTGCCCCCACTGCCAAGACGCCAGAGAACAGTCGTGCACTCGGGGTCAGGGCAGAGGTGGTGAGCTGGTGGTGGCCTTTGCAGCAGGCCACTCGGGGCCCTCCTCTCTCTGAGCCTGGGGTCTCCCACCGCAGTGGGGGGTGGGCCAGAGCTGTGCTTTTCAGACTGGGACCCCTGCAGCCATGGGGTGCGGGGGGCTGCCTCCATTCGTTGGAGGGCCTCAGGGTCCCCACCACCACTGCCCCCTCCCTCCTGCCACCTGGAGAGCTCTTGGTCATTTTACAGCCGGTTCCTATAAGCGACCCCAGGGTGGGGAAAGTTCACCTCCTCAGGCCCTCTTCAGGGGCCTTGAGGGGGATCCCCCCTCCCCAGGAACCCACTGTCCACCTGCCCGAAGGACCACGCATGGTTCGCCCCCGCCCTCTAGCGGCTACGTGGAAGTACTGCCAGGCAGCCCAGTCCGCGGGTTTGGAGCCTTGCAAGGGTGGGCGGATTCTTTAGCAACCCTGATGCTGGGAAAGATTGAAGGCGGGAGAAGGGGACGACAGAGGATGAGATGGTTGGATGGCATCACCGACTTGATGGACATGAGTTTGAGTAAACTCCGGGAGTTGGTGATGGACAGGGAAGCCTGGCATGCTGCAGTCTCCATGGGGTTGCAAAGAGTTGGACACGACTGAGCAACTGAACTGGACTGAAGGGTGGGCAGCCCCCAGGGAGAGGCAGGTCCGGGTGGACTCCCCTCTTGGCCAGACAAGGAGCTTCCTTGCCAGGAGACCCTCCTCAGCCTTTGTGGCCCATCCACACCTGCTCGGGACCCCGGGGCTGAGTCCAGGCGGGAATTGGCAGAGGCAGGAAGACCAGGGAGGGATGGTCATCCGCTTGGCTGCCACCACCCAGGGCAGCTCAGGCCACTCCTGGGGACTGTCAGTGCCGGGGCAGAAGCCAGGGCTGGGCTGGGGCAGCGGGCTGGGCCCTGCCAGCTCAAATTGGGCCTGGCAGCCAGGCTGGCTCTTTCGCAGGGAAACCCTTGGTACCCGCTGACTCCCAGCTGGGCCGGACCTGCTCAGACCACCCGGCCTGGCTTGTTCCTGAAAGCGACAGTGATCTTGAGAGCCGCCCAGGAGGGGTGACAGTGTAGGCACTGTCTTATTCCCGCTGCACCCCCCAGTCTCAAAAGGAGCACCCAGCTCACAGCAGGGACTGGGCAGCCAGGTGGGCGGGCTAGGCGGGGTCTTGGAAAGCAAGGCTGATCTCAGGGGCACAGTGTGCTTTAGGGAGCACACCTGTTGGTTGGGCAGGGAGGCCACGTGGTTGGGCCAGCTCCAGGCCGGGTCCTCCCCGTCACTGGAAACGTGTTGGTCTTCATACCCCACTTAGCCCAGTCACCCGGGAGGACCGTGACCTCGCAAGGCTGCTCCCTGCAGCTGAGACTGCAGGAGAGGCTGAAGGTCCAACGTCTGCTCACCGCTCCCCAAAGCAGGGCAGCTGGTCCTCCCTTGAAGGGGGCCCTCTGTCTGCACGGAAGCCTGGTCCCCATGTACTAGCGGAGACAGAGGCTTGGAAAAGGAGGTCCCCACTGAGGACACCCCAGGAATCCTAGGACATCAGCCATCACAGACCATAGTTGGTGAGTGCAGCCTTGCCCCAGGCCCACAGCTGCACCCCGAGATCGGGGAATCATCCCTGACTGGCCTCTGCTTTAAGCAGGAGCTGCCGCCAATGGGAGACCACTGACTTATATCCAGGCTCCTCGGCAATATTTTGCCAATCCATCATTAAAGAGGTCCAGGCTGCAGGGGTCTGCTCTGGCAATAGGGTCACTGGAGGGGTGGGCAACTCACAGTGTGCTAAGTGCTGATCCGAGGAGGCACAGCCAGGTGGTCTTCCTAAAGGAGGAGGTCCTGAATTCTGGGGAGGGGTCTGGGTTTGCACAGGCAGCAGGGTTGGGGGAGATTCAGTGGATGGAGGAGGCTGGGCACGCGAGCCTGGCTGATTTGGCTGACAGGCACCAGGAGCCACTTTTGGATCCAGACCATTCTTTACTGAGGGCTCCCTGGCCCCTTGTGGCAAAAAACCCAAAAGGATGACTTTGGAGCTGCGGAGGCTACTGTTCCAGTGAGGGCTGGGACACCGTGTTGCCGAGGTGCCCCCATCGTCCCCGGAGTCACAGCTATACCTCCCCCCAGTCTCTCCGAGTCCACGAGTGGCAGCTCTGGTTCTCCCACAGGTTTTCATTTTTCTCCTGGAAATCCCCGCTCTGGACTCCATGGGGCCAAACTCAGAACTCTGTGGGACACTTTTCCTCCAGTTTTCTCTGTGGACACCTCTGTGTAAAGTGGGGACAGGGTGGGGGCGGGCAGCATCACAGTCTCAGCCCCTGCCTCCATGTTGACAGCTGTCCTTGACTCCAGTCCCAGCCACCCCCACCTGGGGGCCCCCTGTGCCTCTGGGCCCGCAGGCAGGGCTGAGCTCCGCCCCTGCCTGACCCCCTCCAGCTGGGGGTGCAGCCGGGCCCTGCCGCCGCTCAGTTGCTCAGTCGTGTCCAACTCTGTGACGGAGTGGACTGTAGCCTGCCAGGCTCCTCTGTCTATGGGATGTTCCAGGCAAGATTACTGGAATGCATAGCCATTTCCCTCCTCCAGGGCATCTTCCCGGCCCAGGGGTCAAAGCCATGTCTCTTATGTTCCCTGCATCGGCAGGTGGGCTCTTTAACGACTGAACCCCAGGGGAGCCCTTGGCCGTGCACCCCGTCACCCAATTGGAAGCGATCCTGTCATTCATTCTGTTCTCGCTCACAGCTGATCCACCCCACCCACCCGCCTCACTGCCCCCCTCGATCAAAGGCTCACCTCACCTCCTCCTGCCTTTGTCTTCCTTGCCCGGGTTCAGAGCCCCCAGCCCCTCCTCTGCCAGCACGTGGGAGCTTTTGACTTTCTCTTGCCTCCAGGCCTCATCTGTCCTCCTGCCATTCATTCATTAGCATCTGCACCACTGCTCCCCAGGGCCTCATGACAAAGACCAGATGCTTCAGGGGGCTTCTTCTGACCTGGCTCCATGTGCCGCCCCAGCCCCTCCCCACCATTCCCTTCCCTTCCAGCACGCTTCCCGGGCAGCCCACCCTGGTGTCCTCCACTTCACCTCCTCAGCCCTCCGATGCCACTGTGTCCCATAAGCTCCCCTGGGGCTACCCCCAAGCCCTGCTGGCCCCTTCTGTCTCCTGTCTCCGGAGACCGTGTTTGCACAATAGATGAAACTTGAACCTCCTGCATGAGAAAGCCCATTCCCAGGGTGATAGCCTGGTCTCAAGCCTTAATCGTGACCATGTTTCCCATGAGCAGCAGAGGTTCTGGCTCATGGAGGCGATCGGTAAATGCTAAACTGAATAAAAGGAATTCACACACGAGCAGAATGGTCACAGGGGAAAACAACCTGTGTATAAAACGGGAGAGATGCCGGGACCACCTCCCCATTTAGATCACCAGCCTCTGAGAATAGGGATGGTGTTGGATTCATCTCTGCTCAGCAAAGGTCCTTGAATGGATGAGATGGGAGAGTGCAGATCAGTCACCTGGTCCAGGTCTAGCCCGAAATGCAGAGTGCACATTGATACCTGTCACCCCCACGGAAATGAGTGTACTGAGTCCACTGGTCATGTTTCTTCCCTGTGGCGCTCACGTGCCCATCTGAGGCCACCTCTATGGTTCTGCAGCCTGAGTGCTGGGCCTCACCCCAGGGTCCCTGATGGGGACACAGGAGTAGGGCAGGAGAAACTGCACTTCTTACAAGCTCCCAGGTGCTGCTGGCCTAGGAACCACACACAGAGAGACTCTGCTTTAGTGCAATGCGGTCCTAAAGAAACACAACGGCAGTCACACAGACAACCTAAAATCTAGCAGCCATAGCTTCAAAAAGTAAAAAGAAACAGTGCCAACATATTTCACATAATCCATTCTATTATTCCAACACGTAGACAATATATATGGCTTTCCTTGTGGCTCAGCTGGTGAAGAATCCGCCTGCAATGCGGGAGACCTCGGTTCGATCCCTGGGTTGGGAAGATCCCCTGGAGAAGGGAACGGCTGCCCACTCCAGTATTCTGGCCTGGAGAATTCCATGGGCCCTATAGTCCATGGGGTCGCAAGGAGTTGGACACAACTGAGCGACTTTCACCGACTCACTGTCAATATATAAACATTGTTGAGGTATTTTTCGTGGTCTTTTCCTGCCAACTCTTTAAAATTCAGTGTGCATTTTACACTGAGACCCATCTCAAAACGGACTCCCAAATGCACGGCTCCTGCGCGGCCGGCGGCCCTCGACAGCACAGCGCAGGCAGGTGCGGGACAAAGGAAGCGGCCCAGAGAACTACAACTCCCGGAGCTCTCGGGGCGCGGCCAGTGACGCACTTCCGGCGCGGCGGCGGCGGCGGCGGCGGCGGCGGCGAGGCAGCCGCAGGAGAACCACATCTCCCGGCGTGCTCCGGGTCACGTCCTGTGACACATTTCCGGCGCGGCGGCGACAGCGCGCCCCCGGTGGCTCGGCGGCGGGGCTAGGGCGACCGCTCGGGCGGGCGGCGGGGCGAGTGGCGGGCGGCCTGCCGACGGGAGAGCCGGGGGCGGGGCGGCGGCGGCCAGCGAGGGAGCGCGCGGGCGGCCTGGCCCCGCCCCCGGCCCGCCCGCCCCGGTGACCTTCAGGGCCCGGGCGGCGGGCGCAGATCCCAGGCCCTGGCGAAGGCGGCGGCGGCGAGATGTTCGTGCAGGAGGAGAAGATCTTTGCGGGCAAGGTGCTGCGGCTGCACGTCTGCGCGCCCGACGGCGCCGAGTGGCTGGAGGAGGCGACCGAGGGCACCTCGGTGGAGAAGCTCAAGGAGCGCTGCCTGAAGCACGTAAGGCCGGCCGCGGCTCCAGGCCTCCCCCTTTCTCCCGCCGCCCCCGACGCCCGCTGGACCCTGGGGCTCCGGACCCGGCGCTTTATCCTCTACCTTCTGGTCTAACTCCCCCCAAGACAGCCCGGGAGGCCGGGGCGCGTCGGGGACGCGGGCTGGGAGAGGCCAAGTCGCCACCGGAACGGGGCCTCCTGCGGTTCCAGCATCCATCCATCCGCGCTTGCTGTCGCGGCGAGGTTCCCGGAGCTGGTAGTTGGTTCCCAAGAAGGTAGAGAGAGACCCGTCGGGAGAAGCGCCTTCCCCTGACCTTGCAGAGGCGGCTGCTTGGAGCCGTTTCCCGGGGCTGGCATGGGGGCCGGCGCCTGGCTCTGACCACTGGTGCGCCCCCGCACCCCCTCACCTTGGCTGGAATCACTTAAAATAGTGTGGCTTGGCCGAACTGATTCATGCACCCTTTGCTATCCTCGGCCTTTACGTGGATTACGTGGGCAGGTCGGGAAGAGGGCCATTTTTTAAAGTTTGTTCACGTGAAGCACCCCAAGTAGGTTCCTCAGAGCGCTAGTCTTTCTCTTTAAGCTTCTTGACTCTGTAAGGCAGGCCAAGACATCTGTCCGTGTGACTTAGGCTGCCTCAGGAAACTCTATCCTTTTCACGGTCTAGTTTCTCCATGTCAGAATTTAGGACAAAGGAGGCCACAGCCTCTTAGTGCGCGTTTCACGTAAAAAGTGCCGTATGCCATTGACTCGCGCGTTTGTTCTGGGCCCACCAAGAGTCTAGCCCTGGCTCTTTTAGTGTGGTCTCCAAGGACAGACTTCCAGCTATTGTTCTAGTGGCTCCCGCCAAATGCTGTCAGGTCCTTTTGGGAGTATGGTTCTGTGGAGTTGTCGCAAGCAGGCCAGAGAGCATTCTGGTTGCCAGAGTCCCTTTCTGGAAAACCTTGGTGTGAATAATGTCTTGGTCTCACGTCACGGAGTGGGGGGGCTTTGGGCTCACACACTTGGGCAGCTATGTTTTGGCCGTTTCTCCTTCTGATGCAGTGACCGGTGATTTCACTATCTAAAAACCACAATGACAGCACTCACCGGGAAGGCTGGGAGCCCCCTGAGCGTCCAGACCATTGGAGCGAGGCTTGCTGCTTGCCCAGTGCAAGCCTCTCTGAGATGCTGTGTGCACCCGGTCAGCATAGGAGCCGCTTGAGGGCTGGATTGTCTTCACACACCCAGGGCTAGACTCTTGATGGCCCAGAACAAACATGTGGGTTAATGGCATACAGATACACGACTGAGATACTGTGGGTTCCGTTCCAGAGCACCACAACAAAACAACTGGCACCACAAAGCTATCTCCTGAATTTTTTGTTTCCCAGCATATAAAAGTTGTGTTTACACAATACTCTGTTAAGTGTGAAATGGCATTATATCCGAAAAAAACAATGTATATACCTTAATTAAAAAATAATGCCACTGGATAAATGGTACCAGTGGACTTGCTGGACACACGTTTGCCACAGACCTTCAGTTTGTGAAAAGCCCAGTATCCGGGAAGCAAAATAAAGCCAGGGCACAACCAAACAAGGCCTGCCTGTAAATGGAACCAGACTGTCAGTCAAGAGGGCTGTGCGGTGGGGGTGGCCTGTCACCTGTTGAGTCCGGCTGGGGGACGTCAGCCTGTACATTGGTGTGGCACTTCGTTTAACTCACCAATGGGAAGGATTGGCATAACCATCAAAACGTTACGTTCTGGAGAGAAAGCGAAGCGAGAAACTCCTAGATTCACGGAGGCTTGCTGAGGATTTCAGGAGCACCTGGGGTTAATGAGGGAGCCAGTTTCATTAGGCTAACTAGTCACATTATATTGCCGATATTTTCATTACAGTCGGTACTGAGGCGTATCACTTGGGATGTTTTCAGGCATTATCCTGCTTTGAACAGAGATCTTATTCCATCCTGCAGATTTTATTCCGGGCCGAGGCGAGTGGCGGACGAGCAGCAGGGGACTTCCACAACCAAAAACCCGGCATACATTTTGGGACTCAGAGCTGAGCTGTCAGGAAGTCCTCACATCTCTGTGCCCATGCCATTCTGGGGGCGGAGTTCGAGGCCTTGTGAGCCCGTCAGGCGGCATTTCCAGTTAGGAAACAGGGTTCTCAAGTTGTGTGCTTGACTGTCACCCCAGAAACCCGTGCACCAAGCTTAGATCATGGTGTCACCGCTCCGCTTCAGCTCCTGTTGCCTGGCTCCCCGCCCCTGCATGCCTGAGCTGGGGTTCTCTTTCCCTGCCTCTTGCTCCTCTGCTCGGAGTGGACACTGTGGGTTTCCTCCCACCACAGGACTCCTGGGAGTTTTACTGTTTTTTTTTTTATACTTTTTATTATGCATATGCATTTTAAATGAATAAAGCAGCTTTGTTAGGGTTTATTATCATAACTCTTACAGAAATGGATTGCCACTGTGGCCTATTCCTTCTTGGTTTTATATCGATTGGGACCACTGTGGTGGTCTCTAGCCCAAGCTTAGATCACGGGGCAAAGTAAATTATCTCGTGTAACCAGAGGGTCACGATTTTAAGAAAGTGGCCCCCTGCGACGTGGTGGGTGTTCTCTGTGTGGTAAGCTTGCCGGCACGTAGCCTGCTGGCAGGGCTGGTAGCACTTCTTAGATCACACCAAGGCGCGTCTTCACATGACACTGATGTCAAGGGGAAGAAAAGGCCATCTCCAGTCCTCCGGGAGGAAGCGGGCTCTCTGGGGTCCAGCCCCTGCCCCAGCCCTGGGCTCTGGGCCGGCTTTTCCACTGCCAGGGCCCAGCTTGCTCCAGTGCCTCTGCTGAGAACAAAGGAAAGAACGGAATAAGCAGGCCCAGTTGGATGACTCACGCTTGTGTTCTGCTCCTGGCGCCTGTTGACAGGCTGCAGAGTACAGTTTTTTTTCAGGAGCCAGTATGCGGATTGTTTTGGAAAATTGTGTTTCATAGACTGCATCCTGAACTTGGCACACCAGCTAGCCTGCAGATTTTAGAATTAGAAGAAGCACACCCAGTTTTTCTGGGAGCAGAGCCATCGCGAGATTCCAGGGAGGGGTGTCTCTGTCATATGCGGTCAGAGCATGTCTTACTATTGGCTGGCTTCCATCTTTGTCCCCACCAGCCCCCAACCCCCGCGTGTGCGCCTCGGTAGCCCTGAGGCCATCGTGACCCCTCTTTCCTGTTTGATTGCTGAAAACTCCAGTTGCTCTTCAAACCCCAGTCTTGAGAGGTGAAGAGCAGGCTTAGCTTCTCCCTCGGGGTGAGCAGTTACGTGTCCGGGGTGTCTGATGGCAGAGGGAGGTGGAAAGGTGGTCCCTCTGAGCTGAGAAGGATCATGAGGACCCTGGGGCCGGCACATCCCCCATGTTGGGGCAGCCTTGACTTCAGCACGTCTGCCTCGCCCCATTGTGTGTTCTGGGGTTTCTGGGCTGCCGATCAGTAACACACAACCACCTGCCAGGTGACCCCCTTCTGGCTGCCAGGCGGGCCCTGCCAGCCACACGTGCGGCTTGCTTTGGGGCCCCTGTGGCCGTCGCTTGGTGGGCTGGGACTGAGCCGAGGCCGTCCTGCCTCCTCAGGGTCTTGTGGGTGTTTGCGGGGTCAGGCCGCTATGGCCTGCTCCCCAGGGACCAGCTCCTCTCAGCCGACTGCCCTGGTGGACGGTGGGGAGCAAGATTCCCACAAGGAGGTATCCTGCTTGGGAAATGCTGGAATGTTTACCGACCTCCGCGGCATCTGGTTGGCACGGCCAGAGTTAGCCGGGCGCTGACCACACCCCAGATCACACTTCAGTCTTTAGGTTTTTGGGAGACAGCAGACCTGCTATTTGCATCTTTAAATCATTCTCCAGATCTTTCCAGATTAAGGAGGCAATTCGGGTAGCCACTCATGGCCAGCAGGGCGTTCTGTGTCCGAGCCATGAGCCTGTTGAGGAGCACTTGGGAGCCCAGTGGCCAGGTCAGTGCCCTCGGGGACTAGGGGCTATGGCGTCTCCACCGTTGCCAGGGTTCTCTGGTTTCATCTCGGCTTTAACTCTTAGTAAGAAAACCAGTAAGTTATTGGTGTGGCTCGGGGCGTCAGGTCCTGTATTATCAGTATCATGATCGATTTATCTTCTATCTTGACATCGTTCTATGTTTTTTTCTGTTTACTAGTGTGCGCCTGGGAGCTCAGAAGACCCCAAGAGTGTGACCCATCACAAATTAATACACGCTGCGTCTGAGAGGGTGCTGAGTGATGCCAAGACACTCCTGGAGGAGCATGTCCAGGACGAGGGTAAGGGGGCGAGGGGACAGCGCCCTCAGCATGGCCCCCGTCCCGAGCAGGCTGAGCAGGCACACAGCAGCCGCAGGGTTGCGTTCTCCTTTGTTGAAACCAAGTGTGCGCCTTGGAATCTAAGAGCAACAGCCTTCTGGAGAAGCCAGACATGAACTCTGTTCCTCATGCTATTTCCATGCAGAGCCAGGGTCCCCAGAGCTGCTGTGGGCTTTACTTAGGGGACGGGAAAGCTCAGCTGTGGGTTGCTCTAGACGTCTCGGAAGACACGCTTAACATGCACGTCCATCGAGTCACTCCGAGTCTCCTGCGTGGAGGCGCTTTCGGAGAAAAGTTGGGCTTTTTATGTCATTCAAAGCACGATTTTATTTGTGAGATTCCCTTATGTGGCCTGTTTTGGAAAGACTAGAATATTGTTTGATGTCTGGTTGGCATGGGCACAGTTAGCTGGGCGCTGACCACACCCGGGGTGCCTTAGCATTGAGGGTTAAGACCAGACGCTCCGACCTCCCAGACTTTCAAAACAGAGCTGTTAAAACAAGCACGCTGGTCCCCTCTGGTCCCCTCAGCCAGCATCTTGCCGGGCTGGAGCCTGTAGGGGAGCAGGGGCAGACTCGGGGGCCGAGGGAAGAGTGGGCCTCTGTGGACCCTCGGGGAGGAGGTGCCCAGAGGGAAGCCCTGCTTCTCGGCCCTGGGGTCTCCCTGGCACGCTCCGTGCCGCATACTGGGTGTGAGGTGGTAACCAGCTCGCCGCACTGTTCCCTCAGATGTCATACTGTTGATCAGAAAGCGTGCTCCGGCCCCCCTCCCCAAGATGGCTGAAGTCTCCGCAGAAGAAAAGGTGAGTTTCAGAGTTTGGAACTGGAGATCTCTGTCGGGGGAGACTCGAAAGAGACTTCTGAGGCTGGCTGTGGGTCCTGCTGGTCCTGTGGTCACGGGCTTTTGTCACGGCCAGGCAGCCTGCTGACTGACGCCTCGCCTCGTGGTGGGTCCAGTGGCCAGCTCTGCTTTCGGGCCATGGAGAGGAGTGTGCTGCCTGTTGTCCGGGTTGGGCTTAATCTCGAGCTCCCGTCCCTCCTCTTCTCATTTCCTGACCGAAGAAGGTCAGGAAGTCCCTAAAGACCACCCACAACACACGGAGGGCAGGAGCAGAGCAGGGCGCCAGCCTGCACGGAGTTGGTTCCCGGCGAGGCGGGGGCCACCTGTCCCCTCTGGCTCTCGCGGGACCGGCTGCTGCACCCTTGGGGGTGGCACTTGGCTGAGACCCCCCTTTCTGGTGTGGGCGCCCCAGGAGAGCTGTGCCCATGCTCCATGTGTTGTGGCCGCCCCAGAGCCTCGCTCCTCAGAAAGCCTGGTCCCGGAGGCTCCCCTGTGCGATGGGAGGTGTGTTCTATCCACAGGCCGGCTGCCTGCCGTGCCTGGGGCGAGCGCCAGCCTTTGCTTAGCGCGGCGGGTAGAGTGTCCTACTCGGCGCTTCGAAATGCTCTGGAGAGCGTTCACCGCAGAGCAGGCAGGCAGCCTCTCTGGGCTGGGCCCTGGGCCTGTGGCGGGCTGAGCTCTTTCGAGGCCTCCTGTGTGACAGCGAGGGAGGAGGCCCTGCTTATCTGCAGCCACACCTGCCGGGGTGTGGGCAGGCTGCTTGCCCGGCTCACTGGGTCCCGGAGCAGGCCTGCTTCCCAGAACCGCGGGGCGGATTCAGCTCTCAGGTTACTGTTTTGGTCGCTGGCAGCTCCCTGAACCTCGGTGACTGTGTTGACGGCAGGCTCCCTTCACCCCCACGGCTCTGCGCGACTTGCCAGGCAGTGACCCTCACCTTTTCCCTGTGTGTATCTGTCAGATAAACTATTGTAAAAGCGATCATGCCAGTTTTTGTGAATAATTCGTTTTTAAAGTCAAAGTAGTCCGCGCATTTAGAAAGTCGGGTGATGCTCCAGATGTTGTCGTAAGTCAGCAGGCGCTTCTCCCTCCTGAGTCATGCGCTCGAGGGGCGAGTGCGCCGCATTCCTTTGACCCTGTCTTCAGTGGTCCTCCTCCTGGGTTCTGAGCGACACCCCGGGTTGTTGTTTCTTGGATCCACAGCTTTAGACTCTGTTGGTCGCTCCTTGGCGATCGGGGCTCCCCCCCCCCCCCACCGCCCACCCCCGCTCCTCTAAATCTTGGTCAAACATTCAGAGTCCCTGTTGTTGTTCTTGCATTAGTCGCTCTCTGCCCTGAGCAGTTTGCTAAAGGAGAGCCCTCCTTTTTTTGCGTACAGTTTTGTTTTTCCTGAAGCCAGTAATTGCTTCCTCATTTTGTTTGTTCTCTGTGTAGGCTTACCAGTCATTTTTTTAGATTCTGCACCCAAACTGATACACCTGTCTGAAACCGGGGTCACAAGTGTGAGGCCATTTGCTGGCGCCTGCTCTGGGAGCTAGCCCTCAGCTCCTCCGGCCTGTCCATCGGCGTCAGCCATGCCACACGGGGCTGCCCACCTCCCTCTTTGCGGCTCCTGCTGCGTCTCCAGTGTCTGCGTGGGCCTGCCGGCACGGAACAGCCCCATTAACACACAGGTTGCCGGGTCTGTGCCAGGCAGGCCCAGCTGGCCCTGTGCTCAGGAGTTGAAATCAGGTCTGCCTTCCATTTGGGAGCCTCTGCTTCTGGCTCTTTCGGGTGTTTGGCAGAATCCCGTTCCGACCCTTTGAAGAGCTGGGGTCCCATTTTCCTGCTGGCCGTGAGCCAGGACCACCCTCCACTCCCAGAGGCCACCTCCTTCCAGGCCTGCAGTCCCCGCGCCTTCAGAGCAGCCAGCGGGGAGCTCGTGCCTCAGATCCCTCTTGCTTTAATCTCGATGGCCCGGTGAGCCCCACCCGTCCTGTTTACGGACTCGCCTGATTAGGTCGCCACCCCCCCCCAGGGCCCTGTCCTCCAGACAGTGTGCCCCGTGAGGTGACCTGGCCCCAGGCGCAGCCCGCCCACTCAGGCCCTGGGTCGGGCAGCCGTGAGTGCAGGAGCGGGGTCTGGGGGCCGTCGTGCCCTTGTGCCTGCTAGAGTCAAACGTCTTGTTCTCCTGGTGGGGTGGGGCCAGACTCGCGCCAGCATCTCTGAGAGGCGGGGCCGGGGGGCCCCGTGTGGCTGCTGAGGGAGAGCGCGTGCTCGATGGGGCCTCCCCGCGGGTCCCCAGGGTGTCCCCGGGGTGGCGGTGGGAGCCGGGCGGCCCCGCGCTCCCTCCCCTGTGCCCGGGCTCTGCCCCTCGTGGGCTCCTTGCACGTTGGCCCTGGAGATTCTGGAAGTTCTCTGGGTACTTGTTGGTACCTCCCCCCTCGTTTTCTCTTTCTGGGATTCCCGTGGTTGTGGGACCTGCTTTGTGAGAGATGTTTACAGTTTCTAATCAGATGCTTGTTCTGCGATGACTGGCACAGCGTCCTCTGCACTCCCGCCTCTGAGCACCGTGCAGCCTTGCTCTCTGCTTTCCAGGCCCGCCTTTCTCTTCCCTGCGTGTGTCTCTCCTTCACCCTCTTTCCCCACTTCTGTCTCTGTCGTGCTCATTGCAGACTTTGTTCATGTCCCTGTCAGAGGCACTGGGAGCTCACTGGCCACTCTGGTGGGTGGTGCCCCCCGCCCGCACCCGCCTTCTCCTGCCCAACATCCCAGGAGCCAAGTAGAGTGGGGCTGGATCTGCCGTCTGGGGTCAGCGTGGTGCCTCTCCTGCTGGGCTTCTCCGCGCGGGGCTTCTCGGGCTGCGTCCAGGGATGCTTCATGGTCCCTCTGTGGCCTGCCCGCCCGCCCAGCCATCGCCCCCGTGTGACGGTCATTCTGTGGCCACGGGAGGCCGTGTCTGTCTCCCCAGCCCTGTGCCACCGTGCTCCGGGGCCAGCGTTCTGTCCCTGAGGCCACGCACAGAACCATCCAGAAGCCTCCCTGCTCATCAGGGGCGTGTGGCTCCAGCTCCCGGGACTCGAGCGCTCCCTGGTTAGAGCTGTTTGTTCAGAGACCAGTCTTGCCTCTGGCCACTCTTACAGTCACGTCTGATCTTCTGATTCCTCTCCTGTGTTAGAAGAAACAAGAGCAGAAAGCCCCGGACAGAGATGCTATCTTCCGAGCCACCGCCAGCCTGCCCTCCCACAACATGGATCGGGCCGTGGTGCAGACCAGTGCGAGGGACGTGAGTGCCCGCGGGGGCTGTGGCCGTGGGGGCCGAGGAACCCTCCAGAGAGCGCTTGGGAAGCGGGGCATAGGGGGCGCAGGAGCTCTGTGCACTGTATTGGAGCTTTTTTGTGGGCAAATAAAATTCCATGGATGGAGGAGGCTGGTGGGCTACAGTCCATGGGCTTGCAAAGAGTCGGACACGACTGAGCGACTTCACTTTCACTTTCACTAACTCTAGATAAAAGGTTTAAAAAGACATTGAAAGGCAGGGCCGATAGGATTTGATACTGTGGGGGAATGTGAGTTTTGTCCTGAGTTTGGCAAAACATTTTAGACAGAAATCAGACTTTTGCTTATTTTGGATCGGAAGGTTCTGAGCTAAAGCAGAGCATTTCCAGTGCTCCTGAGCCAGAACTGGGCCAGGACTCTGCGACTGCTGGGCAAGACACTGCGGGTCAGTCTGCAGGCTCTGCCACGAGCTGGTCAGTTCAGGAACACGCCTCTGAGGGTCTCCTCCAGAGAGCTCTGTGTTGGCCTCGGAACCCGGGCACATCTATCTCTCATTGGCCGGCGCGTGTGTCTCTCATGGTGGCCGAGCCTCACTGTCAGGGAGACAGGCAGTTGGGAGGGGGGTTTCTGATGACATTCCCAGCAGCCCCCCCACCCCGTTGAGAAGAACTGGTTGCAGGGAAAGCTGGAGGCCCACATCAGTGGAACCTGTAGAATCTGCCTGTTTTGTTCGGTGAAGCCTATGCTCTCAGCTCGCTTAGCGGCCAACAGGCCAGACGCCGCCTTTGGGCTGGAGCTAAGCGACGAAGCCTCTCCTTCCCGCCCTGCTGAGAGCCCTGTTTCTCTTCCCGGTTATCTGGACGTGCTTTGACTCACAGATTCGGGGTTTCAGGACAGGGGCTGTTGTTTCAGACCCGGGCAGCTTTGTTGAGCATCTTGTGCTTTCACCGCAGTTCCAGACGGAGCTCCGGAGAATTCTGGTGTCTCTCATCGAGGTGGCTCAGAAGTTGCTGGCGCTGAATCCGGATGCCGTGGAATTATTTAAGAAGGCAAACGGTAGGAGCGGGCCCCGGGCGGAGGCCCCCCCTCAGCCAACACTGTTCACGCTCCGCACGGAAGGGTCAGTAGATGGGGGCTTAGTGGACCTCACACCATCACCCGTGTCTACACAGTGAGAGCTGACGGGTCTGTCTCAGGTTTTCTGAGGTGTAAGAGGTTACCCACAAACGTCTGGTGCTCGGGTCGGGCGCTGGGCCTGCGGTGGGCTCGGGGAAGCACCCCTCGTGCGGCGGGGCACGGCCTGAGCCCTCACGGAGCCATGTCTGGCCCACAGCCATGCTGGACGAGGATGAGGACGAGCGTGTGGACGAGGCGGCCCTGCGGCAGCTCACGGAGATGGGCTTCCCGGAGACCAGGGCGGCCAAGGCCCTGCGGCTGAACCAGTACGTCTGGGCCCCTGCTGCGGGCAACACCCTCCCGCCCCGGGCCCCGTGACCCGAGTCGCCTGCAGTGTGAGTGTCGGTAGAAGACCTGGGCGCGTGTTCCGGGGTCACAGCACTGGCCGCCTCCGGGTCTTAGAGGGCAGTGTGCGGTGGACCCGCTTACTGGGAGTGTGGCGCATGGTGGTGGCCGTGCACTGCACCAGGCTCTCGTCTTCCGGGAACTCGGATCACAGCCTGATCCCGGCGGGGCCGAGGAGGACCCTGGCATGTGGGTGGTCGTGTCCTGGGAGTCTCCTGCAGTTTCCTGTTACTAATCACTTCCCCTTTGGCATGTTCAGATCTGAAATAAATCGTCTGTAACTGAGGGGTGGTCAGCGGGCTGTGTTCTTTTTGCTTTGGATCCCAGCTCTTGCGGGCACCTCCTGGGTTTGGCTCCTGTGGCTTCCTGCACGTGGGCGTCTGTTCTGGCCGTGCCTCATGGCAGGTTAGGGCCGGGCCGGGGCTTCAGCCGCGCTGCATTAGGTCCTCGTACAGGACTCGGCAGCTTGCGCTGGGGATGCCACGAAGTCGGAGAGGCTTTTCTCGGGGACGCAAAGGCCCGATTCCCTGGGACGCAACGGCTCAGTTCCCTGGCCTGAGGTGCTGCTCGGGGGCCATCTTACCTGGGAGCACGTCTGTGCTCGGGGGCCGTCTTACCTGGGAGCACGTCGGTGCTCGGGGGCCGTCTTACCTGGGAGCACGTCGGTGCTCGGGGGCCGTCTTACCTGGGAGCACGTCGGTGCTCAGGGGGCCGTCTTACCTGGGAGCACGTCAGTGCTCAGAGGCTGTCTTACCTTGCAGCATGTCGGTGCCCCAGGCCATGGAGTGGCTCATCGAGCACGCGGAGGACCCCACCATCGACACACCGCTCCCAGGCCCAGCCTCGCAGGGAGAGGCAGGCGCCGAGGCCACCCCTGCTGCTGGGACCAGTGAGGAGGAGGAGGCCAGAGATGAGCTGACGGAGATCTTCAAGAAGATCCGGAGGAAAAGGGAGTTCCGTCCGGACGCCCGGGTGCGTGTTGATGGGCAGTGGGGGCGGCGGGGGGGGGGGGGGGTCCGACAAGTAGAGGGCTGTTCCTCCCTAGGTGAGTCCTGAGAGGGAAGCCGCGGCCCTCAGGCCAGGCCACCGGCCCTGCAGGGAGTGAGGGGTCTGGACAGACTTGAATCTGGAGTCTTCAGTTTGAAGTTTATAAGTGTCCTCGAGCCGTGGGGTCAGGCGGGGGCCCTGTCCAGAGACCGAAGGGGCACCCACCAGCTGCATGGGCTGCCTTGTGAGCAGGAGGCTGGTCAGGCGGGTCAGTGCAGCATCGGGGGGATTCAAGGGCCCGGGTCCCAAGGCCTCTGGCTGTACTCGGCCCGCTGACCTGAGTGTCCATCTTTACGGCCACCTCTTCACCGTCACCTTGTATTTGATACTTTTACATTTCCACGTTCTTTTTCACTGTTTTCTTTTTTCATTAGGTTTAATTTTAATTTAATCTTTTTGGATGTTTTTGATACCGTGAGTGTGTTCTGTTTACTTTCAGATCATAGCTCTGTCAGCTCCAGGCGTTAGGGCTCAGATTTTTCATATCCTCCTGATTTTGCTTGTGGCCCCAATTTCTTGGGGCCTGATGCCTCACCTGTGGGCCTATGTCCGTGGGATGCTCTCTGCAGCTGATGCAGAGTCTGCGTCTGTGGGGTTGAGTGGGGCCTCGTACAGGGGCTGGCTCTCGTGTTCATCAGCAGGGCTCGTGGGCTATGTGGAGTGTCCCCACGGGGCCGGGGTGGGGGTCTTCCACTGCCCCTCTCTGTGGGGATGCAGGCCCTGCTCAGGGTCCTGGGGTCCAGCTCCAGCTCCCCCCAGCACAGCCCCGAGGCCTGCGTCCTGTGCGTGACGCTGGGCCCAGCCCCCGTCCCCCGGATGCACCCTCAGGGAGGCCAGGCTGTTGTCACGATGTTTCTGTTACTGTGGGATTTTCCCTTGAGTTGAGCTCCGCGTGCAGAAGCACCTGGGTTACTTTAGTCCAGCGTTTCTCGGTCCTGAAGGAAGTGTGTCTCTTCGTCTTAGTCTCTCGGGATTCCAGTCGGTTGGCCCTGGACCCTGTTCGGGAAGGGCAGCCTTTCCCCGGGCGGGCCCCGTGCTCTGCTGTTGGGCTGCCTGCCTTCCCAGGGGTTCCTGCAGGGCCCCGTGAGGCCCTGATGGTCGCTCACGGTCTTGGTCACCACCTTAAAGGCCTTTCCTCCTCTGGGTTGTCCTTCTTAACCATCCTAAGTCACTCCTTTTCCCACAAGGGTGTTGAGGCTTGAAGGGCTGGGGTCTGTGATCCTGAACCAGTCGGGGAGGGTCCGGTAAGGACGAGATGTTAGCTCGGATCCTGGGGAGAGCAGATTGGAGAGCAAGGCTTGGACCCGAGACAGACCTTCAGCTCCCTCCGCTCCCCGACCCTGGCCACAGACAGGGCAGTGACTGTGCAGAGCCTGCGGCGCGGGGGCCTCTCAGCGTGGCCACATGGGGTCCTCCCTGGAGGGCTGGGAAGAAGGGCATGGGGAGCATCTGGAATCCCCCCCAGCAGTCCTGGGGCCGAGACAGAAGTGAGGAGAGAGGGCGGTTTATGTTGACACTTCATGGAAAAGGCCCTCCTACCCTTGGGTTTCAGAGTGGACTCCAGGTGATTTTATGTGACGTGGATATCAAGCACTGCGGGGGCGCTGTGCCCTCAGCATGTGCTGATGGGCCGGAGGTGGGGAATGGCCCAGGGGAGCAGAGGGAGGGGGCCCTGGGCAGAAAGGACTGACCTGAACGCTCACTGTTCACAGTCCGGCTCCAGGTAAACCCTGCTCCCGATCGTCCTCGCAGGCACCTGCTGCCTTGGTCAAGTTCTCTTTGAAGCCGTCCAGATGGACTGCAGGGTGAATGGGGTGAGGTCCATGAAGCCAGAGCGTGCCAGGGCCGCGCGAGTGTCCACACGCAGACGGGGGCCAGTGGCGTGAAGCCAGCCAACACCTGGGGGGGAGTCGGGGGCTTCAAGGGCAGGGTCTGACCTCCCGAGAGTTAGGAGAAACCCTTGCAACTTTGATGAAGCCTCTACCTTTCTGTGGTAGTGTTAAGGTGTGTCAGAGTTTACGTGCTAGAAGTCAAGGATAAAGAGAAGGCAGTGTTACGTGATTTTTGTCCTAAAAATGTACCACCACCCCCAGACACAGAGCACTGGGTCACTGTTTCCTCCAGAAACCAACATGTGTTTAACTTACAGCTTCAATCTTGTTAAATAATCATTTAGGATGAATTTCAAGCTTTTTTTTTTCAAAGATAAAGTGTGAAGAAAATCTCTTCCGGTTTCAGAAATCAGTGACGTTCCACTGGAATGGGAACGGCCGACGTGCCATCTCTGACCTGCTCCTCCCGCTTGGCCAGCCCCTCTGGAGGGGGCCGTGCGAGGTGGTGGGGACAGTCCCACTCTTGGCAGTGGCGGGGACACACGTGGCAGGACCTGGGTGGGACAGTGAGCCTCCAGGAGAGAGCCTCCAGTTCCACCCTCTGTCGTTCAGAAAGCCAGCAAGTGTCTCCGTGAAGCCATAGGGAAACAGTCTTGAAATAGAAAACCTGGTGGTTTTTTTTTTCCAATTTATTTTTCAGGATGCATTTATCTCTGGTCGCGCTGGGTCTCCGTTGCTGTGTGGGGGCCACTCCGGCCTTGGTGCTCGGGCATTCACTGCGGTGGTGTCTTGTCGTGGAGCGCTGGCTCTGGGGCACGTGGGCTTCAGCAGCTGCAGCTCCCAGGCTCCAGGACGCTGCAGGCTCAATAATTGTGGGTGGCACGTGGGCTTAGTTGCCCCAGAGCTTGTAGGATCTTCCCAGACCAGGGATCGAACTGGCGTCCCGTGTACTGCAAGGCCAATTCTTAACCACCGATCCCCCAGAGAAGCCCCGTGGTGGTGTTTTTTTTAAGACATCCCCTGCCAGGATGCCACCGGGCCCGCGAGCGCGGCGCTGAGCCTGTGGCTTCTCCTGCAGGCTGTCATTTCCCTGATGGAGATGGGCTTTGACGAGAAGGAAGTGATCGACGCCCTCAGAGTGAACAACAACCAGCAGAATGCTGCCGTGAGTGCCGCCTGCGGCCTGGGCACCCCGGGTGTGGACACCTTCCTGCAAGGGCAGCTCCTTTGCTTTTGAGCAACAGTGGGGTTGGTGGTTCAAACCGTGTCCAGAGTTTAAAGTGCTGAGAAAATCTGGACTTTGCCACTTAGAGAAAGGCACGTGTTCTGCGGGTGAGTGTGACGCTTGTGTGTTGTGTCACACTGACACCCTGTGGACACGTGCCCACTGCTGACGGAGCCCAGGGAGGGGCTGGGGGTGACGCTGGGCCCCTTGGGTAGCAGACTCAGCCCAGCCCACACGGCCCAGGAAGGCAGGGTGGGCCTGGGCTTCAGCCGTTCCTGGACCAGGTCTTGCCCCGGCCGCTTCCCGCGCCAGGGTGCTGGTGTGCACTCGGGCTGCAGAGTTGCAGCCGTGCCCTGAGCTGCGGCGCCCGCGTCTGCTGGGACAGCCGGGCTGGGCTGGCCCTGCTGTCAGGGCCCCTGGCCGTCGGGGCAGCCCTGGAGCCCCCGCTGTGGCGTCGAGGTTGGCGGGGGACCATAGGCGCTGACCCTGCCCCTCTGGTGTTCACAGTGCGAATGGCTGCTGGGCGACCGCAAGCCCTCTCCCGAGGAGCTGGACAAGGGCATCGACCCCGAGAGCCCCCTGTTTCAGGCCATCCTGGACAATCCTGTGGTGCAGCTGGGCCTGACCAACCCGAAAACCTTACTAGGTACGTGCCTCGCTCCCCGCCCGCCACACAGGTGTCCCTGGGCGATACCGCAGCCCCCCCTACAGGGTTCTGGTGGCTGGACCTGGGTCACTGCGGGGCCCAGAGGTGGGGGCCTGCCCGGGTGTGACGGCCTCCTGTGCAGCGACTCCGTTCCAGCTCCAGAAGGTGATCCGGTCGGGAGAGTGTAGACAGCACCCAGCAGGTCGGGGCCGCGCCCAGAGGAGGCTTGGCTGGCTGTGGCTCTTAGTCTGTGAAGGGTTGCCTTGGCGCTTGTTCTGCCTGTGAGATGTGATGTGATACACAAGAGCGTATATGATCTGTGCCACTTTAAAGAGTGATAGTAAAATTAATAATCATATTCCTGCCGTTCATCTTGAAAAAACGGTCTTTTTAAAAAACATAGCGCAACCCAGGCCCCCTAGAGTTCCTGGGTGCCCCCCAGCCCCCGCTGTGGTTGACCCTCCCCAACCCCGAGCAGGGGCTTCCTCAGCGATGCCGATGGGGGCGTCTGTGTCCTCAGACCATTCAGTTGCCCCTCTGTCTTCTGGGCCGACCCCTGGGACTGACTGCCTGGAGGGTCGCGCGGTGCGGCACTGCAGGACAGGGCCACGGCCGACCCTGCCGCCCGGCTGCCCGACGCCCGCGGCTTCCGGCCAGTGGAGCTGCTCTGGGCGCTTCCGTGCCTGGTCCTCGGGGGAGGGTTCCCCCAGGGCTTCGTGCCTCGGGCCGGGTGGCAGGGCCCTGGGCGTGGGCATGTTGAGCCTGCCAGTCGAAAGGGAGCCCCGCCCACAGCAGCTTAGGGCCCCCGCTGCCAGCTGCTGGGAGCAGCCGCCCAGGCGGGCACAGGGCTTTTTCATGCTTGGCCGTCTCCCCAGTCTCTAAAGGACAGCCTCTTCCAGAAGCTTCAGCCCCTCCCAGGACACCCACCGCCCCTCTTTCTGGCTGTTTCCGCTACTGGATTGCCGTCTTACCGCTCAGAACCTTCTTCGTGCCTGCCGCACACTGATCCTTTCTCAGGTATTTAAGTCTCCAGGATCCCCTGTCAGTTTCTGCCTTCTCTGTTGATCACTGTGATGAACAGACGTCCCGTATCTTAACGCAGCGGAACATGTCTATTTCATTTATGACATGCATCTTTAAAGAAAGCCCTCTGATTCCAGGCTTGGGAAGACCTGCACCTGTTTCTTATTTTAGTAGTTTTAAATTTTCTTGTTTTAAAGTCTGTGATCTACCTGGAAGAGTGAGTGGCATAAAGCAGGGAGTTTTTCTGTTTGTACCCAATTCCAGACGTAAGTGGTGTGTCGTGTGGTGAGTTTATTTCCACTCTTTGTGCCAGTCCTCTTCACACTGGAAGCATCTTGTGGTCCTCCTCCCCAGAGACCTCAGGAGGGTCCCCTGTGCCGCCGGGGTCTGTCCAAAGCCTTTCCTAAAAGCCTTGCTTGCAGTGCTTGACCATCGAGTGTGTGATTTGCTGATTTGCTCTAAGCTTTTTTTTTTTTTTTTAAATTTTTGAAGACATAGTTGGTCAGATTAAGTAAGTTCCCCTTTTCTCTCTAGTTAGATGCTAAGATTTTTCAATTGTGAGTGGGAGGTCAGCTTCCTGGATGACTTTTCGCTATCGAGATTATTGTGTGGTTTTACATCTGCTGTATTGAGTGTTTCTTGCATTTCTAAAACAAACCACCCAGAGTGACTACTGCCTGGTGTACAGGCCCTGGGTGGGTGACCTGGACGGGACGTCCACTGGTCCAGGGTCCTCCCCGTCAGGCCCCAGGGTCCTGCAGGAGAGGGCATCCCATGGTGAGGTCGCCCCTGCAGCTACTCACTTCCCTCAAGGCATTTCTGGTAGGATTTTTAATGACCTTTATCTCTTTAGATGAAGTAAAATATGCACTATGGAACATTTGGAAAACACAGGGAAGCTTGAGGCAGCAGCAGTCACCACCCACCCCCCGCAGCTGGTGGGTTTCCCTCTGCTCTGAGGAGCAGACGCAGCCTCACCACAGGGCAGCTTTCTGGTGCTTCATTTCTCATCACATTTGATGCATTTCCTCTTTTGAAAATGAGATTGTAGCAGTTCAGGTATTTCCTTCTATGGATGTGTCATATCATTTAACAAATACGTTAAGTTTGTTAATTTATGTTAATAATGTGACTTAGAGACTAAAACAAAACAACCACCCCACTAATACAGTCCCCTGTTTGTGATCGTAGAACCGTCTGCCTCTCAACCAACCATGCAGCCTTTGCGCGTGACTTTCTAAAGTGAAGCACTTCAGACATCACCTCTGAAGTACGTTTCAGCTCTTTTTTTGTTGTTGTTGTTTAGTCTCTAAGTCATGTCTGACTCTTGCGACCCCATGGACTCTATAGCCCACCAGGCTTCTCTGTCCGTGGGAGTTCCCAGGCAGGAATACTGGAGTGGGTTGCCGTTTCCTTCTCTAGGAACTTTTAGCTCTAATATTCCATAAAACAATGGAAACATCCTGAATTAAGAAAGAAGACAAAAATTCTAAAAATAAATTTCAATCACCTTGCTTTTGTAGTTCAGTAAAACATTTTTTCTCATAAAAAAATAAACGGTGTCCCATTTTGTTGCTTTTGATCTTCCACCTGCAATAAACTGTGTTTGGACCCGCTTCTTTGGGTGCAGCTCCGACTGCCTAAGGACAGGCAGCTGGAAGGCAAACGAGCAAGTCCATGAATGTGGACGTGTAAGCTCTTGGTGACGTCTTGGCAACCGATGGGGCTTTCGGGTGAGATCCGCCCCTCTACCCGCCGCCCCAGGCGGGGACCCAGCGGCTCTGTCTGTCCCTGGGAACACTTTTCTCCCGGCCTCTGCACGTCCGTCGCTCTGTTTTAGCTGCCTTGTTGCTCTTAGAGCTCTGTCAGCAGCTCTTTGCACGTCAGGGACCTCCTTGGTTGCCTGCCGCACTTCTCATCTCTAATAACGCACGAGATGTGCAGCAGAAAGTCATTCCTCGGATGAATCTTTCCCTCTGTGGTTTTCATATTTAGGGCTTTTTCCATCTTTCTGTGCCGCTCTGTCTTCCTTCTGGAGTTGATTTTGCCGCTTGCTGGGAGGAACGGGGGCGTGGGCTTCCTCACCTCACGAAACCCACTTTATGTTTTGTTCTCCTGGATGCCGAGTCATCTTTCCGGGTTCTCTTTCTGAAATTTCAGTTGGGGGGGCCTGGTGACTCTCTTAAGGGCTGGGAGGGTCATCAGGTTGTAAACATAACAAGGTCAGACTTTCCCACGGAGCCCACGGCTTGGGCCCCCGTGACCCTGTGCAGCTGTGAGCCCCTTTCACGGACACGGTTTGACGTTGGCTGACATGAAGAGGTCTGGCATAAAGCCGTCCTTCCCAGATCCTAGGGCGACCGTCCACCCTGCGGTTGGTTGCTCTCCACCGAGTTGGCCATCGTGTGTCTGGGCTGGAGAGCTTTTTTGCTAAGAGGCACCTTTGTTTGGTGAGGGGTTGCTTTATAAAAGCGTTTAAAAATTCAACGTTTTCATTTCAGAGAACTGCTCATTTTTAATGTGCTGTTTTTGTTTTTGTTTTTTTAAGTCATTTCCTGAAGATTGAGCAGTTTGATTTTTCCAGTTAGATATTATTAAGCTGGCAACATCATCCTTACATAAGTCTTTTCTGCCAGGGTGGGCCTGGAAGTGGAATCACTGAGTCACGGGCTGTCACTATTTTAAGATTCCTAGTAGCTGTTGCCACGATGCTTTCCAGAGTCCCTGCACCAGGGAACATGGGCGTGTCGCCCCGCCCCACCCACAGTGACCACGCCGCCTTCCGTGTCAGCAGATGAGATGCGCGGGGCGGGGGTCTGGGGGGTTCCCGGTCCCCGCTCACCTGGAAGCTGCTGGGAGGAGAGCTCCCACCACTGCATGTGGGGCGTGTGGGGTGCGGTCCCCCAGCAGCTCTGTGTCTCCCCACAGCGTTTGAAGACATGCTCGAGAACCCGCTGAACAGCACCCAGTGGATGAACGACCCAGAGACGGGCCCGGTCATGCTGCAGATCTCCAGAATCTTCCAGACCCTGAACCGCGCGTAGGCCGCGCACTCCAGCTGCCAGGCCCGGAGGGCCTCTTCTTCCCAGCCCAAGGGGTGGGGAGAGCGTGCAGACCCCAGGGTGCCCCTGGGCTGGGGGAGGGGAGCAGGTGGGCCGGAGGGGACCCTGCCCTTGGTGTCGGGCGCCAGGGCCGCACTCCTGCCGGGATCTTCCTGCTGAGAAACCTCGGGCAGCAGCGTGCTCGGTCGCACCTCCAGCCTCCGACAGTGTTTACAGACAAGGCCGTCACCCCGGGAAGGGGTCGCCTCCCTCCAGCGTCCCCCGGGCTCTTGACCCGCTGCTTGAACTGACCGTAGGCGCTGCTTGTAGAGCCCACTTGTTATTTGAAGCAAGGCATGTTTCAACCAAAGTGTTATTGTCAAAGGTACTAACTTGAGTAGAAGAATTCACAGATGACTTCTCTTTAATAAATAAATTCCCCTTTTCCAGCTCTGTGTCTTGGTCTGGTTTCAGCCAGGGAGGAGGGGCATGCGTCCTGGCAATGCTTTTGTTCCCGCCGAGACTGCGCCCACTGCTTCCCCGAGGGCGCTCGGCACGGCTACCTGCACGCTTCCTTGGCCGGATCTCATGTTTTTCTTGGGGTTGAGGGACCGCGTGTCCCTGTCTCTGAGGTGGGAGCTGAGCGCCAGAGTTGATTTGCTTTGCCCGTCCCTGGCTGCTTTTTTAAGTATGTGAACACTCTGTGTTTTCCAATGAGAAACTGACCAGCCACGCCATCTGGGGGCTGGCCTGGTGCACGCAGTGTGGACGTGTGAGGGTGCGAGTGGGCCTCACGCCTCAGGGCGCCTTCTTTCCTGGCAGGTGTTCAGGGGGCCCCTTAATAAGACATGTGTGCAGGGATCAGGGCCCCTTTTCAGACCCCCGTGCGCTGCCGGAGCCACCGGCCCGTGTGCTTTGGTTGAAGAGGTCCTGTCCCTTGGATCCCCCTGGACAGCCAGCCCTCAGACACGATTCCCACGTTGCTGTTCCAGGTGAGGAGGGCGGGGACCATGGCAGCTAGGTGTCTCCTGGGCGCTGATGGCCCACCTGGGCTCTTGTTCCTGTGAAGTATCCTCCATGGGGGCCCTGGCTGTGGCTGCCCCAGGCCCACTGCACTCACCTGTGGGGGGACGTCCAAGATGAGCTGGCCCGTGGCCCTGCGGTCTGATGCCCTTCACTGGTTCCTGGAGGATTTTTTCTTCCCATGAGCCCCACATGGGTCTCAAGTGGCACCTGGCAGTGTGGGGGATGCCCAAGGGGAGGCCGCGGCAGTGGGGCCTGTGGTCCAAGGTGCCTGGCGTGGGAGGTGGGGCACTGCCAACGGGTGGCCTCGCTGCTGGGCGGCCAAGTCCACTCACCACCAGACTGAGCCAGGCTGGGTGGGAGTCATGGCTGGGCGGGCGGCAGGGCTTTGCACCCCTTGGACTTATGCTCCCTCTATAACAAAACCACTACAGACAGTGACTGCAGCCATGAAATTAAAAAACGCTTGCTCCTTGGAAGGAAAGTTATGACAAACCTAGACAATGTATTAAAAAGCAGAGACATCACTTTACCAACAAAGGTCCCTATAGTCAAAGCTATGGTTTTTCCAGTAGTCAGGTACGGATGTGAGAGTTGGACCATAAAAAAGGCTGAGTGCCAAAGAATTGATGCTTCAAATTGTGCTGGAGAAGACTTGAGAGTCCCTTAGACTGCAAGGAAATCAAACCAGTCAATGCTAAGGTAAATCAACTCTGACTATTCATTGGAAGGACCGATGCTGAAGCTGAAGCTCCAATACTTTGGCCACCATGTGCAAAGAGATGACTCACTGGAAAAGACCTTGATGCTGGAAAAAAATTGAGGGCGGGAAAAAGGGGTGACAGAAGATGAGATGGTTAGATAGCATCACTGACTCAATGGACATGAGTCAGACGTGTACCTGCTTTAACCATTGAACAGAATGCGTTTAACCATCACACAGTCACTGTGGTTCAGGCTTCCAGGAAGGAGCCCGGAGCCGTTGTGGATGTGGTTTCAGGCAGTTCCTGCTTCACTGAGAACTTCAATTTTCTGAACTGCATCAGATTCAAGGTCATCACCGGCTGACCTCAAAACAGTATCTGCTAGCCTCTGACATCTGCAGCCTTATGGTCTCAAAGTCTCTGCTGGTAACTGAATTTCGGACCCCGACCCTCATTGGAAAAGACCCTGATGCTGGGAAAGATTGTGGGCAGGAGGAGAAGGGGACGACAGAAGACGAGATGGTTGGATGGCATCACCAAGTCAATGAACATGAGTTCGAGTAAACTCCGGGAGTTGGTGATAGACAGGGAAGCCTGGCGTGCTGCGGTCCACGGGGTTGCAAAGAGTCGGACACAACTGAGCAACAACCACCCATCCCAGCACCCCTCCTTCTTGCCAGCTCCGACCCTAATTCCTGACGAACAACTGATATAAATTGGCGGGGTTTGCTTTTACAAGCTGCCCCTATTTTGCAGTCTGGGGAACACAATTCAAGCGCTTCTCGAATCTCCCAGGCTATGGTCCTCAGTGTGGCTCAAATAAAACCGCTTTCTATTCCTGTTACAGGTTGTTCAGTGATTGTTTCTGTCCACATGAACAATACTGAATTTGAAGCTGAGTTAGTTTCTAGGCGCACATGATGCCATGTGAAGCCTTAGCTGCAGGATGTCTGGCGGCCCAAGGAAAGCAACGCAGAGCGAGGAGCCCCTTCAGTCACTGGACAAGCCGCTGCTCAGGGTTTGGACACCCGGGGGCAGGGCCAGGTGTGCAGAGGATCCAGCAAGAGAAGATGCAGGAATAGGGAGGGGAGGGGCTTCACCTTCAATGTCCTGCTTGCCTGACAGGGGGGGCTTCCCCAGGAGTCCCTTCCATTCATCCCTGTGCTGCGCAGCTTTGCCCGGTAGAGGAAGCTTTGACAGCTCCGTGGGAACCGGCAGAAGGAATCGAGGACGTCGGGTGGAGGCTGTTTTTCCAGGTCATGAATCTTAATGGTTGGTTATGAGCGAGGGTTCCTTAGAGCTTAGAGCTCACACCACCCATACTACCACCACGTGGCCAACGTGGAGACCCAGTGTCGTTTCCAACGTTGGTTGGGAGCTCCGTGTGAGGAGTGGGGAGACGGCAAGGAGGCTGGCGGAGAACCTCCCCTGCGCAGCCTGTGAGCGCCTCCTCCTCCCGGTGCGGGGCTGCTCAGAGGCCACCTGCTGCTCCAGGACCTGGGTCCCGCGCCTCTCGGGCTCTGGGTTGGAGGAGGACTTTCTCTTCGGAGGGTCGAGTCAGGGAAACGACCGAGTTCTGGACAGGCGAGTCCCTGGAAAGCGTTCTTGCGGGGATAGCTCCCCGTACCGAAGCCCTGAAGGCCCCGGCTGGTGCTGCCTCCCTCTGTCCCTGCGACGTTCGTGCCCCTGGGCTTGTTGAGCGAGTGAGGACTCCCACCCCGATCTGGGGACTTGGGAGGCCCAGCGTGACTGCTCTTCCTCCGGAGAGAGTGCATTCGCGGCTCGCAGTGGGCTGGTCCTCCCCGGGGCTGGATTCGGCCACGCCCTCAAGACCACGCCCGGGACACACCCACCGGCCACACCCCCTCTGGGCCACGCCCACAGCGCCACTCCCCCGACGCTTTCCCCAGGCCAGTCTGTAGCGCCAGGTTTTCACCTGCCAGGATTTCAATGAGGCTGAGGGCTTCCGCTCTCCAAGGACTGACCGGTCCAGAGCCCGGCCTCAACCCTCCAAAGAGAAAGTCCTCACCCACCATACCGGGCCTGTCCTCCGGCGCGAGGGGTGGCCTGGCACTGCAGCATACCGGGCCTGTCCTCCGGCGCGAGAGGTGGCCTGGCACTGCAGCAGGGGCAGAAGGGGCGGGCTCACGCTCAGCAGGTGGGGGGCAGTGTTTGCCGTCCCTGTTCTAGGGCCAGCTGGCCCTGGTGGCACTCAGGAAACACTGACGGGAAGCTGGCCCGGCAGCACGTGGGGGTCGTTGGAAGGCTTGGGGGGCCTGGAGTCTGCCTGTTGCTGGGTTACAGTCTGGCTGGGTGGGTGTGGAGGGTGGGCTTCTCAGGCCCAGCTGTGGCCTCTGCTCCCAGGCCCTGTGCCCTCGCTGCCTCGTGCTGGGTGCTCTGCCTCCCCTCCACACCTGGGACCTCTGACAGGCTGCCCCTTCTGCTCTGACTCCCTGTGGGTGTACGGAGGGGGCAGGCCTGGGCTGGGGAAGGATGTGAGCCCGGCATTGGTGTCTGGAAGGCTGCAGGCTTCAAAGAAACCGTGTTTTCAAGCAGGACCCCCATAGGTGATCCTGAGCCGTCCAGGCCTCCACACTATTCAAAGGGCGCCTTCCACGGTGTGGGGTGCCCAGGGCACCCTGCCCACCCTAGGGGCCAGGTTGGGTTGGGTGTGGCAGCTGCAAAGATGCTTTCCATGATGGCACCTGGAGGGAGGCGGGACGGCGCTGGTGCTCAGCGCTCCCACCCATGCTCTCCCTCTGAGAACTGGGATCCAGCACCTTCCTGCTTCACCCAGGGACTCTGGGCATCACAGCCCAGGCCACGTGCCCTGGCCGCAGCCCATGTCTGACCAAGCACAGGCAAGCAGGCACGCCAAGGTTTGAACCACGTGCCCCTGGGCCGCCGGGGAGGGCAGGCAGAGAGGCGCCGTAGCCCTGGGACCACAGCTTACTGGCTGGGTGACATGTGATATCACCTCCATGACCTCTGCTCCTTCATCCTCACTGAAGATGGCTGCTTTGTCACGTTGGCAAGTCGAGCCTGGGGCCAGTCTTGGGGTCAAGAGGAACAGCCTTCCAGGCAGGATGCTGTGTGCTCAGCCCCTCCTGCTGCAGGCTGACCCGCCCGGCCCGGGCACCCCCTTTCCGACGATGACATCTGACAAGACCAGCACTAGGTTCCCTGGCCTGGCCTGCCCAGAGCCTGGCTCTGTCTCCCCAGAAGGCCTTTCCTCTCAATGTGACCGACGTGAGCTCGAGTGGCCTCACCCAGGCCCTGCGCACGCATGCAGGTGTGTGCCATCCGGCAGGAGCATCAGGGCTGAGAGCGAGGTGTGCGCCCAACCTCCAGGCTCCGCCGTGCTGCCTCTCCGGTGAGGCGGGGCCTCTGAGCGGCTCTGGACCCCGGGTGGGGGCAGGGCCGGCCCTGCTCTGCCAAGGTCGCACACGGGACCGGGCCCTGGCCGGGGACATGGTATCGCTGGAAGCTGGGGACTGAGGCTGGGCAGGCTGAGCAGACAAATCCCCTGGAGAGTGGACAGGAAGCTGGGCATCGGCTGACCCCCAGACAGGCCAAGATGGGGTTGCTTTCCTTCCAGAGAAGGGCCCCGTGGAGTTCCTATTTCAGGATCTCTGAAAAACCTGTGAGGCACCTCGGAGTGGGTCCCCTACCTCCGTGGAGCGGGGTCTCTGACACCCACCTGCGGCTCCTGTGTGACGTGGAGTCAGCGAGGTGGCCGCCGGGCCCGAGGCCATGGGGGGCCACGCTCTCACCAGGACTCGCCCCTGCCCTGAGGACCCTGTAAGGAGCTCCCTGCCCCGTGGCAGCGGTGGTGGCCTGGCTGTGAGAATGCCTAGGCCGCGTGCAGAAGCCATGGGGTCACTGAGGGTGATGGCCGGAGTACCCCACCACGCCCTGGTGATCCCGGCCCGAGTGTCTGCGCACTGGCTGCTCCTCCCGCCAGTACTCCGGGCTCTGGAGCAGGCCCTGCCTGTCCTGACCCCGGGGCCCCGCACGCTGAGGGGCGGTCACTGCGGCCCCGCAGGCACCCGCTGGCCTTTCGGGTGGAACCTTGGGCCCGAGGCCGACCTGCGTCCTCCGCTGCGGGAGCCCAGGACGCAGGTGGGGTCCCTGGGGGTGCTGCTGGGGGCAGGGCTGGGTGAGCGCGGGCCCCGAAGGCCTTCCCAGCAAGCTGACCCACCTGGACCCCCGAGGTCATCCTTGGGGAGAGGGGCCACGGACTTCCTTCCTGGGAGCCAGTCCCACATCCTGTGAAGAAGGGGAGCTGCTTTCCCTCCCGCCCCCCAGCTCTGGCCCTCCTGAGCCTCTCCTGGCAGTGCCCACGCCCCGCACGTGACAGCCACCTCAGAGCCTCAAGTCGGCCCAAGGGACGGAAGTGGCTGCTTCCAGGGAAGGTAGAGGCCCCGCCTTGTGCCCGGGACTCCCCTCGGAAGGGCTGGTTCTGCAAGCCCCCCGGCGTGCAGTTGCTCCCCACCCGCATGCCACGCTGGGCCCCAGAGCCGCCCTCCCACACCCTCGCCAGGCCTGGTGCCGCCTGCCCTGGGGACTGGCCCAGAGGCCCGGCCAGCAGACGTGGGGTGGGGGTGGGGCTGAGCCCCTGTTTCCAGCACAGGAAGGGGCAGCTGCCTTCCCCTGGGCCAGCAGGTGTGGGCAGGGCCTGAGGGCACCCAGGCGGCGCAGTGAAACATGGGGGCTGGGCAGGGTGGAGGGCAGGGCAAAGATGCCGCCACCCGTGAGATGTTAGGCTGACTTCTTCCTAAGAGAACAGAAGCCTGTTAGAGGCCCTCACGTGGTGGTGGGCCATGGGGGACTTCTGTCGCTGATGCCAAAGTGAGGCCCTCAATCCCAGGGCCCGCCTTGATGCCTGCAGATAGGCGCTGACACCCACAGTGTCCACCTCGGCTGGCGTCCTGCCCACACATCTCTGCGTAGACCCAGGCCCTCAGGGACCTCAGCTGAGCCACACCCGGGGCTCCTAGTTTTCAGCCCCCTTCCGAGGCCTGGGGATCTCATCTCGAGACCCTTGAGTCACATCTGCAAAGAGACCTTTTCCAGATGAGGTTTCCACAGGTTCTGGGGTGGGCATGGATTCCTGGGTCACACAGCAGCCTCTCCACAGGGAACCTGTTGTAACCACAGGGCAGGAGCGTTCCCTCTAACTCCTTGCTGCCAGATGAGGTTGGGGAGCTGGATCCTCCTGCCCTGGGCTGCTCAAAGCCAGGCTGCACCTTCTCCCCAAGCTGGGCCTTCCCGCCACGAAAGTGGTGGGCGGGATGTGGGCAGAGGCGATGGGGGCAGCTCTTCTCGGCAGCATCTTCTTCCCAGAGAGCACCCCCTTCAGCCCCGAGACCCCAGGAAAGGGCTGGGGCCCCAGTCCCCACCAGCAGCCCCTCCTGTCTTTGCTGACAGCAGACACTGACTCTCCGGGGCCCAGGCACCTGGCTCACTCTGCCTCTCCTCCTGCCTGTCTTCCTGCCATCTCCGCCGGCCTTCAGAGCACGGCTCTGGGGGGGTACGTGACACAGGGTAAACTTGTGTGTTTGACGTGTGCAAGCCTGCAGAAACCTCACCTCCTCCAAGGAGCACACGCTCATCGCCGCCTCCCAGGGCCCCTTTGAGAGCCTCTCCCCATTCTTCAGCTGCGTCCTGTCCCACGGGCTGGTTTGCGTGCGGTCTCAGGAGGACTGCCACGCCAGCTGTGTGCCCGGAGCTGAGGAGTCGGGCTGCTCTCGGCAAGATTATTTCAAGATGCGTCTCCGCGGTCTCGGGGCTCACGCCCGAGGTCGCTGGGCTACCTCTGCCCGTCCTCACCCTGTGCGCCTGGTGGGAGGAGAGGGGAGCAGGTTTGAACAGCGATGTCCAACCCCTCCCCCCCACAGCATTCTGTGCTGGCCCTGCCTGGCCTCGAGTGTGACCACTGGCCGCCTGGGGCGTAGGGGGCCCGCAGCTGCCAAGTGTGGGGTTGCGTGGTTCCCCAGGACCACGGTCTCTCCAGGTGGGCTGCAGGCGGATGGAGCCTGGAGGCCAGATGGAAGACCCAGGCACAAAGCATGCATAGCACGCAAGTCCATGCACACGAACCGTCCAGAATGGGCAGAACACGGGCTCAAAGTTAGCGGACTCAGGGGCCGGGAAGGGGTCTCCTTGGGGCACAATGTGGCCGTGCTGACACCGGATGGAGGTGGCCACACAGAACCACGAGTGAGTCAAGTGCCACTGAACCGTGCGCCTGAAAGCGGTTAGTTTATATTTTGTGAATTTCACCCCCATTTTAAAAAAGAGAGGGAAAAAAAACCCTGGACTGCATCCAACTTTCTTTGCAGTTACAGCTTTTATGATTTTTAAGCCCATCCCACCTGTATCTTTTTACCTCTTTTATCATCTAATCAATTTCATCAAACTAATAGATTCCGCTTCCCAGGAAGTTCATGAAACAGTGACAGAGAGGAGAGCACCCAGAGCTGAGCCCGGGGAGGGGCCGTGGGTACAGCGTCCAGGAGCCTCTCCTTGGAGGCAGCGGGCAGCGGCTGTGTTCGGAGCAGAGGCTCAGGGAGCAGCAAGGGCGTCCAGATGGCCAGGAGCAGGCGCTGCCCCTGGAAAGACACAGGACAAGCCACCGGGAGGCGGCCAAACCCCGGGCTGCCTCGCGGATCCGCGGTGGGAAACGGCAAGCAGAAAGTCTGGAAAGGGACTTCCCGGGTGGCCCAGTGGTTAGGAATCCGCCTTACAACGCAGAGGACGTGGGTTGAATCCCTACTTGGGAGACTGAGATCCAACATTCCGCAGAGCAACTAAGGCCGTGTGCGGAAACTACTGAAGCCCAGACACCACAACTAGGGTCTGCAAACGCCACCCCGAAAGATCCAACGTGCTGCAACCAAGCCCCGAAGCAGCCAAAAAAATAAATAATTTTTAGAAAAAGAAAATCTGGAAAGAACGCACCCGCCCTGCTGGGGGCTCCTGGGTCTCACGTGAGGTGTTCACTCTTCCTTCATGTTTGTCTGTGGTTTTCAAACTTCCCACCTGGGCTTGTGGTGCTGTTACAATCAAAATGGTTTATTAAGCCCAGTCTGCATGTCTACTTGTAGAGGACTAGTTTCTAGCTGGCGGGACATACTGTGTGCTGCACGCTAGGTTGCTCCAGGTGTGTCTGACTCTGTGACTCTGTGAACGGCAGCCCACCAGGCCCCTCTGTCCCTGGGATTCCCCTGGCAAGAATGCTGGAGTGGGTTGGCAAGCCCTCCTCAGGGGAATCTTCCCCATCCAGGGATTGAACCTGGGCTTATGTCTCCTGCTTTGGCAGGTGGGTTCTTTACCACTAGCGTCACCTGGGAAGCCCTGATACATTTCTAAGAGTGATGTTTTAACACCATCAAGCGGGGGTGTTGTGGTTTTTTTCTCTGCACATTTAGATGTGGAAGTAGCAAGACTTCGTCGTGGGCAGAAAAATGGCCTGAACCAGAAGGGGCTTCTGGAGTGCTGCAACTCACCCCTGCACTGGAGACCCCACCTAAGCTCCGGGGACCCCGTTCAGAGGCTGTAGGGGAATCCATGTGCAGGGGCCACTCGGGAGAGTGGGCTCAGGGTGACCGGCCCTCTGTCCCTGGGGGCACCTGCAGGATGTGACGCGACCCAGGGTTCCTAAGCCAGCCAGGCATTTGGGACCCACGTCCCCCACTTGGCCTAGTTGGGGGAAGGGGTGCTCTGTGACAAAGGTGTTGCGTTGCCAATGGACTAGCGCAGTTATTTTAAAAAGCTCACCTCAGGGCTTCCTTGGTGGCTCAGGGGTAAGGAATCCGCCAGCCGATGCAGGGGACTGAGCTCGATCCCTGGTCCGGGAAGATCACGCATGCCGCAGGGCAACAAAGCCCTGCGCCACAAGTGCAGAGGCTGTGCTCCGGAGCCCGGGAGCCCCACGTCCTGAGCCCAGAGCCCCGCTACTGAAGCCGAGTGCCCGGGAGCCCGTGCCCTGCACCCAGAGAAGCCACTCCAGTAAGAAGCTCAGCCTTGTAACTAGAGAGAAGCCCGTGCAGCAGTGAAGACCCAGCGCACCCAAAAATAAATGAATAAATAAAATTAACAGCTCAGCGAGTTAAGAAGTTCAGATGACCCCACAGGACACGTGGCAAGCCGTTCTGCCCGTCTTTTGGGATTGCGGGGCAGCAGAGTGTGAAGGACTCGGGGGTGGTGGGGAGAGGGTGTGCTCAGAGGCCAGGGTTGCAGGAAGTGCTGGCCCAGACCAGACTGGAGATACGGACCCCATCATTGGGCTTGGGGGTGACGGAGACTCAATCCATTCCAAGGCATCCCCATTGCCCCTTCCCAGTCCTGCCACGAGGGCTGGCACCTGGGGCCGGCGCGCGGGCTCCGTGGCCCATGATCTGCTGACCAGTGAGGAAGCAGCATCCATGCGTATCACAGCCCGATTGCCCGCAGCCTGGTGGTGGTGCCGGTTGGGAGGGTGAGGGCAGTGTGAGGATGGGCGGGCTGGGGGCAGCTCTGGTGGGCTCAGAGGAGCCAGGGCACCGTGTGGAGCCCGGGGTGTGTCCTGGGCTCACCTGTCCCCAGGAGGTGGACAAGGGGAAAGCAAGGGGCAGAGTCAGGGTGGACAGGCTAACCCCAAGAGGGGTCCTGGAGAACAAGGGGCAGACGGCTTCTCCCGGGGGCGGGCACCAGCATGTGGCAGCGGTCTGCGGTCCTTCTCGGCCCAACCCTCCCCGACAGGCTCCCCCTGCCTCTCTCGCAAGGGGGAGGCTAACTTTTAATTAATCTAGCTTAAATCGAATTAGCCCTTCTCCCTGGGGGAGTGTCTGTGAAGGGAGGGTCGGGAGGCCGGGCGTCTTAGGCTGAGTGCTGGGCTGTGTGGTGTGTGCTGGGTGACCAGGTCCCGGTCAGCCACGCTTGTCACTCGAGCGTCCCCAGCACTCTCCCAGAGGTTGACTAGCTGTGGGATCCTCAGGTCCAGTTATTACGTGGATGGGACCTCATCGCGGCCCCCCCATGCCAGGTCTGCACCCCCTCACTCTCCTAGGGGGCTCCCCCCTGCGGTGGTGGTTTGTGCCCAGCTGCGCCCTAGCCACGGCGAGCAGGCTGTCCTGCCAGGCCTGCCCAGAGGTTCTCACGGGCGCTAAATGGAAGGTCCGGCTGTGAAGCCCCGGGGCAGGTGGCCTACGGGGGCCACAGCCGTCAGCTGGGGAGGTGGGGTGCATGCAAATGTCTCCTGGCAGGGAGCAGCAAACTCCAGGCCAGCAGAAGGGTGGACAGGACTGAGTGCCTGGCGCAGAGTGGGTGGGTAGAGAGCTTCTCAGGGCTGGCCCTGGGGCTCCCTCCAGCCTTGAAGGGTTCTCTCATGAGCAGGGGAGCCCAGAAGCTGGGCTGGGGCTGGGGGGCTGGTCTTGAAGTTGCGGCTGCAGGGCTGGGCCCTGGTCTTGCTTTGTTCTTTTCATTAATAGATGTTATTTCTTAGTGGTATTGTGCTTGTGTGCTAAGTCATTTCAGTCGTGTCCAACTCTTTGTGACCCCATGGACTGCAGCCCGCCAGGCTCCTCTGTCCATGGGATTCTCCAGGAAAGAATACTGGAGTGGGTTACCATTCCCCTCTCCAGGGGATCTTCCCGACCCAGGAATTGAAGCCGTGTCTCCTGTTTTGCAGGCAGATTCTTTACCGCTGAGCCACCTGGAAGCCCACAAGGTGGTTTCAGGTTCACAGAATATTGAGGGGAAATACAGTGTCTCACGACACCCCCCCCCCCAACCAGTGTCCCCGTGTAACATCTCAGCATGGTGCGGTGCGTGTGTTCCAGCTGAAGCCCTGTTAGTGTGTTGTTATTAACTAAATCCCACCGTTCTGTGAGGCTTCACTCTCAGCGGTGCACATTCAATGGGTTTTGACAAATACAAAGAGATGGGAATGAACACCCGCCCACCTGAGCTGCCTCCTGAGAAACCTGCATGCAGGTCAGGAAGCAGCAGTTAGAACTGGACATGGAGCAACAGACTGATTCCAAACAGGAAAAGGAGTACATCAAGACTGTATATTGTCACCCTGCTTATTTAACTTATATGCAGAGTACATCATGAGAAATGCTGGGCTGGAGGAAGCACAAGCTGGAATCAAGATTACCAGGAGAAATATCAATAACCTCAGATATGCAGATGACACCACCCTTATGGCAGAAAGGGAAGAGGAACTAAAGAGCCTCTTGATGAAAGTGAAAGAGGAGAGTGAAAAATTTGGCTTAAAACTCAACATTCAGAAAACTAGGATCACGGCATCTGGTCCCATCACTTCATGACAGATAGATGGCGAAACACTGGAAACAGAGGCTGACTTTATTTTTGGGGGCTCCAAAATAACTTTAGATGGTGATTGCAGCCATGAAATTAGAAGACACTTACTCCTTGGAAGTAAAGTTATGACCAACCTAGACAGCATATTAAAAAACAGAGACATTACTTTGCCAACAAAAGTCTGTCTAGTCAAGGCTATGGTTTTTCCAGTGGTCATGTATGGATGTGAGAGTTGGACTATAAAAGAAAGCTGAGTGCCGAAGAATTGATGCTTTTGAAATGTGGTGTTGGAGAAGACTCTTGAGAATCCCTTGGACTGCAAGGAGATCCAACCAGTCCATCTTAAAGAAGATCAGTCTTGGGTGTTCACTGGAAGGACTGATGTTGAAGCTGAAGCTCCAATACTTTGGCCACCTGATGTGAAGAGCTGACTCATTGGAAAAGACCCTCATGCTGGGAGGGATTGGGGGCAGGAGGAGAAGGGGACGACAGAGGATGAGATGGTTGGATGGCATCATTGACTCGATGGACATGGGTTTGGGCAGACTCCAGGAGTTGGTGATGGACAGGGAGGCCTGGCATGCCGCGGTTCATGGGGTCGCAAAGAGTCGGACATGACTGAGCGACTGGACTGAACTGAACTGAACCCAGGCTTCCCCCGGTGGCTCAGTGGTAAAGAACCTCCCTGCACTTCAGGAGACGTGGGAGATGTGGGTTCAGTCTCTGGGTCGGGAAGATTCCCTGGAAGAGGAAATGGCAACCCACTCCAGTATTCTTGCCTGGGAAATTCCATGGACAGAGGAGCCTGGCGGGCTGCAGTCCATGGTGTTGAAAAGAGTCGGACATGACTGAGCAGGCACGCAGTGCAATATGCACTATTGTAATATCACACAGAGGGACTTCCCTGGTGGGTCAGTGGTTAAGAATCTGCCTACCAATGCAGGGGACAAGGGTTCAATCCCTGATTTAGGAAGATCCCACATGCCAAGCAGCAGCTAAGTCCAAGTGCCACAACTATTGAGCCTGGGCTCTAGAGCCCATTTGCTAGCCTGTGAGCTAACAACTACTGAAGCCCATGTGCCTAGAGCGCAACGAGAGACCACCGCAATGTGAAGTCCGCACACCGAAACCAGAGCGTAGCCCCCGCTCGCCGCAACCGGAAAGCAAGCCCAGGCGCAGCAATGAAGACCCAGCGCAGCCGCCAGTAAATAAATACGGTAAAAAAAATCACATCACACGCAGTAGTTTCACTGCCCTACACATCCTGTGCATTCCACTTGTTCACACCTCCCTCCTGCTTCCTGGCAACCGCCGGTTTTTTACTGTCTCCACAGTTTTCCAGAATGTCACGTAGTTGGAAAGTGTAGTCTTTCCAGGTTGGCTCCTCCCACCGACCCGTGTGCATTTCAGTTTCCTCCATGTCTTTTCATGACTTGATACCTCATTTCTTTCCAGTGCTGAATAATAGTCCACCGTCTGGGTGGATCAGTTTATTCATTTACCTCCTGAAGGGCATCTTGGTTGCTCCTAAGTCTTATCAATTAAGACTAAAGCTGCTACAAACATCCATGTGCGGGTTTTCTGTGGACAGGAGTTTCCAGCTCTTTTGGGTAAATAGCCAGGAGCAGGGTTGCTGAATCTGTCTCATTTTCATTAGCGGGGGGCTGGGGGGGCGGGGGGGTTGTTGTTTGGGCATTGATGGAGGCGGAAGGGGCAGGCCACCTCCAAGCTACCCTGTCCTTGGCATCCTGGTCCGGGAGATCAGGGGGCACCTCTGTCTCCCAGCTTTGGCCCCCGCTTCCCGGTTGATGCCCGGTCTCCTCTCTCTGGAGCGATGCTGGGAGGAGGGGGTGAGGCCACATCCTGGCATAGGCGCTCTCCGCTAAGGACACTGTCGGTGTGATGTGGGCTGTGTCAGTCTTCACGGGGCTCAGGAAGCCCCGAGCACCTGTCCACGCCCCCAGTACCGCCCTCGGAGCCATCTGGTCCAGGCAGGGATGTTGGGGGCCAGGTGTCTCCATCAGAAGGGCCCTGGCGCAGGTGGCATCTCTCACACGGGCTGACTGAAGGGGGCTTCCCCTGGGAGGCCCCCCCCATCCCACTGAGAAAGTCCCGATGTTTCCTGCCCACAGCAGCCGCACCTCCTTGAACCTGTCACGACACCTCACGATCAGAGTGTGAATGTGGTTCAATTACATCATGACATTCACCCACAGACGGCCAGAGGGGCCGCCAATGGCCCTGGCCGCCCCTGTGATGGTGCCCACCCAGCCTGAGGACTGCCTGCAGCGGGACACGTGACTTGATCTTTAGTTTTCCTTCCTGTCAATCAGATTTCACTGCACCGTAAGGACATTCAGACAATAGGACAGGGCACTTGCGCGGTCGCTGCCTCAAGGACTCTCGGGGGAGCGGCTATTGGTCCTTCTGTCCCAGGAACAAAGGATTTCCCCCTTTTCTGTCAAAATTGTTTTCCAGTGAGTTAAAGATGCCTGATGAGATAGGATGCCCTCGGCAGCTGCTCTGAAGTCCAGATTCTGCCACTTTGGAACCGGCCTCCTGAACACAAGGCCGTGGGCTCCTGAGCCAAGTCCCTCGCCGCCCTTCACGCAGGCTCCGGGGTTCTGGCTGCCACACAGACCAGCTGGGCTCTAGGTGCTGTTAATGTTTTCGTTTTCTGTTTCACGTTTTAGGTTTGTGCCAAGAAGATAATTTCTTTAGCAACGAAGGATATTTAAAATCCCCTTACTCTTTTCCTTTTCAATGGAAGTAAGGCTTACACTCAGGAAGTGGCGTGTGGCACGCACGTGTGCACCACGCCGATGGATGGCCTGGGGCTCTCACCCGGATTGTCAAGAGGGACAGACCTGCCCCCACTCGCAAGCATGGCCCCCCGAGCCACCCCACCGAGTAAACAGACAGTGAAGCAGCAACAGGAAGAGACATTTCTGTCTCCACGAAGAAAGCCCCAGTACCTGGGAAGGAACGTGTTGGTCCACCCTGTGAGTGGGGGGAGGAGTCAGGAAACAGGAAACTGTACCTTTGGCCTCGAGTACGATACAATGAAGACAAGTGAGAACTCGCTCCTATGATGCATTTTTGCTTTTCAATTTTTTGAGGTTTGCTTATTTGTGGCTGTGCTGGGTCTTCGTTACGCACAGGCTTTTCTCTGGTCGCGGCAAGCCGGGGCTACTGTCCTGCTCCGGTGTGTGGGCTTCTCACTGCGCTGGCTTCTTGTTGCGAAGCGCCGGCTCAGCAGTTGTGGTACTCAGCCTTAGTTGCACCGCAACCTGTGGGATCTTCCTGGACCTGGGATGGTACCCTTGTATCTCCTGTATTGCCAGGCAGATTCTTGGCCACTGAACCCCCAGGGAAGCCCTCTGCTGCGTTCTGATTTCCGCATCATAAAAGTCACTCTTTCAAAGTGTATAGTACAGTGGTGTTTAGTTCATCACAGAGCTGTGTGACCATCACCACTTCCAGCACATTCTTAGTGAAAGTCACTCAGTCGTGTCTGACTCTTTGCGACCCCCTGGACTGTGGCCCGCCAAGCTTCTCTGTCCATGGAATTCTCCAGGCAAGAACACTCCAGGCAAGAGTGGATTGCTCTTTCCTTTCAGGTGATCTTCCCAACCCAGGGATGGAACCCGGGTCTCCCACACTGCAGGCAGATTCTTTACTGTCTGAGCTACCAGGGAAGCCCATAGTCCCCCAGTACATTCTCATCACCCCCAAAACACACCCGTACCCATTCACTGTCATTTTCCCCTACCCATCCAGCCCATCCAGCATGCTGCACTGTGTCTCTGGGTTTGCCTGATCCGGACATTTCACAACAACGGAACTGATGCTGAAAGCTT